GTATCCGTAAGCTTTATGAAAACGTGCAGAAATATGGACGAAATGAACGCAGAGCACGGACAGAAGGCTCCGTCCGTATCCGGATCCGTATTTAACGTTGAGCATAAATGAGCCCTAACAGTGGCTACCCAACAGGACAATATGCCATGCCTCACCACAAAAACGGCACAGGAATGGTCCGAGGAATGAGACAAACAAGACAAAAAGCTAAAGGCATGGACCTGGCCTCCAAATTCCTTGGATCCCGATCTGATCAAACATCTATAAGACGTGCTGGTACCCCACCTCACAACCCACGGGACTCAAAAGATCTGAAGCCAACGCCCTGATGCCAGGCACCAAAGGACACCCTCCAGAGGTCCTGTGTCCATGCCTCCACAGGTCAGAGCCAAGACCGGTCCAAGGAGGACCCACCATGGATCAGGGGTACCTCTTGGATACCAGCATGTCCCTCAAATGTTCAATCAGATTGGGATCTGGGGTATTTGGGGGCAAAGCTGACACCTTGAGCTCTTTGTCCCGTACCTCGGATCCTTCCTGAGCAGTTTTTGTGGTGTGGCACTGCCATCGATATGTGCCGTTGCATGACAGGGTTAACTTGGTGTGCATCGGTGTTCCGGTGGGTGGAGCGCGTTAAGTAGCATCCTCATGAATGCCAGGACCAAAGGTTTCCCAGCAGAATATTGCACTGTAACAAGATGATCGATGTTATTCACTTCACCTGTCAGTGGTTTTAATGTTTTGGTTGGTCGGTGTAAGTTTAATTTGATGTCGAGCACAATTATCATCATTATTATTAAAATAATATCTAGTTTTTATTCAACTCTTTACCATGAATCTTATTTTCTTGAGCATATTCTGTGCATTAAGGCAAAACATGTAAAAAATAAGTGTTGTATAAAACTCCACCTGTCTGTTTCTCCTGAGGGTAAAATATTGGACTCGGAGAAGAAAAGAAAAGCTCTACAATGTGGTGGCCTGCAGGGCACAGACCCATGTAGGAGGGAGACAGAGCGAGGTAAACTTTGAGTGAAGGCGCAATCAAAATCAAATTAAGACTTCAAAGAATATGCTAAACATGTAGCTAAGAGAATTTCTCTCTGAGCATTTGCATGTGCCCTGTTGGCTGCCTGCCTGTGGTTTGAATGAGAATCAGCCCGCAGCAGCTCGGGGAGTCTATTATGAAGCAGACATGGTGGATAACATACAGTAGGTGCGAGCCACTGTACTCGCTCTGAAGGCTGCAGCATTGTGTGTCAGCTGTGGTGCCCCAGCCACCGTTTACATTCAATAAAAAAAGAATTCCTCATATTTAGTCGAGCCGGCCCGTTGCCATGGTTACTGGCCAGGGGTTTTCATTCTTGATTCACTTCCTCACCCTGAGCGTTCCTCCTTTTTTCCTCGTAGACCTCACTCTTGTTTCTCCTTCCCCTCCCTCGCTGACATTGCTACATTTAACTCCAGTTTCTCCTCACGTGATTTTTCGTCTCCTATTTGGGAACATTTCTGCTCCTCCTCTTTCCTGCTCAGGGCCACCCCTGCGTTTATGTCGCCCCCACAAAAGCCTTGCTCTCTCTCTCTCTCTCAATGAAATCCAGACATACGCACTGTACTCTAGCTGCTAGTCTAAAGAAAACAACTCCTGGCTGTAGCTAGGCAACTCCAAATATGAGTCATCTCACTGCCGCGCCCATCATCAACTGATCACTACCCCCACCCCAGTGACACACACACAAACAGCTCCAGAGCCTCTTTATGAAGTGTAGTTGCTGGAAGAATTCAGACTGTGCGGTCCTGTAGTTCGTCTAATTCATCACCGCTCTCCTCTGACCCAGAGTTGAGGTAGAGGTGGAGAGACTCATATAAGTGATAAACTGTGAGAACATTACCAGTGTGCCCTCAGTAGATAACATCATGACCACAATGTGATGACTGATCACAGCTTGGCAGAGCCACCGATTGTCAGATGGTGGAGCTGGCAGCAAACTAACAGAGCACTTGTTTTCTTGGCCGTTTGCTTACGTACAGTAGTTCAGTCGGTTTTTATGAATAGATGGAGAGCATCTCGAGTTTATTAAACTTTTATTATTTATTTTCAGGCCAGATGGCAGCCGGGATGAACACCGGCGATAGAGATTTTATCTCAGTAATGTATATTAAAACTGAACAATGAAATGCAAATGAATGTAAATGACACACAGGAGCTGGTGGTGAGTGAATATTACAACGTCACTTGTTTCTATCAGTTTAACAAAACAGAGAGGAGGTTATTTAAAAAGAGGGCAAAGGTCAAATGAGCTGAAAGTGAAGGTGGCTTGACATCTGTGAGGACGGCGGATGTATAGGTCAACATAAATGGGACATACGCATATATGTATGTCTATACATGTAAAAAAGGAATGTTTTTAGCTTTGATTTAAAAGCATTCAGAGTCGGGGCTGTGTAACATCTGGGAGGTTATTCCAGGTTTGTGCTGCATGATAACAAAACGCTGCTTCACCATGTTTTGTCCTGACTCCTGGGACGCTCAGTAGGCCAGCGCCAGGTGTCCTCAGGGTCCTAGAAGGGTCAGTGTCCTTTATATTATTCTATTTTGTTCACTAATTTAATGACTTATTTTCCTGTTGACTTATACTGTTATTCATCTGATCAGCTGTTTAATTGTTTATGTACGCTGGCAACACATGTCAGATGTCATGCCAGTAAAGCCTATAAATTCAGAAATGAAGAATAATTAAAAGTATGTTCAGTAGTATTTAACAGATGGAGAGGGAGTTTTTTTATGATAATTATTTTTTTAATAATGTGTGTTTGTGTTGACAGGTCTGCATAAATCTGTCAGTGGAAATGTTTCTCTGTAGTTGTTGACTTAGTGCAATGTAGTACCGCCCTCTAGTGGACAGAGAGGGAATTGTTTTCAATAGCCCATAAAAGTAGGAAGGCTCAAAATGCTGCTGAAATTAAAGTAGTAATTATGCAGTAAAATGACCCTTGTGACTTTTATTGGGTATTTTATTCTTTTATTTTTGTATTATTTTAATTAATTATATTTAACTCTGTGCAGTTCTCAGGATAGTTTGGTACCAACATCACTTGTTTGTTTTATACTAGTATTTATTTATCTTTATTGTTGCATTTAAAAAAATACTTTCTGTATTACGTTATTTGCCTGTTTTTTGTTACATATAAGTTTATTCATTTATATTACATTGTTAGATTGTTAATACTGATGGATCAAAGTGTATGTAACATTTAACTGTTGTAGCTGGTCTTGGTGAAGCCAGTTGGGCCCCCCTTCCAAGGGTTAGGGCTTCCAAAAGGTCTTAAAATAAATTGTAGGTATCAAAAAATTAAATTTATTTTTCTTTAAATTTTTATTGTAAAAAAAAAAAAGTATAATTTCAGCAGCTATATAAATGACTAACTGCTTACAGCTTTCTGACATCTGAAACAAGACATCTTTTGAAGTGCCTCAGAGTTGTAAGGTGAGATGTAGGAACATGCACCCACTCCTTTAACTCCTCTCCTAACCTATAGACAGCACTGGTTGCAGTGGTATACCTGTTTCAAGGTATATAAAAAGATAGTAAAAATGACGGTTATCATAGTATGTACATTTGCTTATTTATGATATTGAAAAAAAATGCAACTGGGTGAAGAATCTCAGCTTTATTTTAGTTATTTTCCAGAGGGGCGACTTCTGACAAAAACTTTCATTTTTAAAAAATACCTTCAAGTTGAAATCATAGTAATAATACATTTGTTAAACCAAAAATAACCCCTCTGTTTTCATTCCGTAAAGGGTAATTTTGACTTCTAATAATAATAATAATAATATTGATAATTCTGTAATACCGTGATACCAACACATTCTCACTCCAACCTCATCACATATCGATGTTCGGTCATGGACTTTCCACGTCCAGATACAACCTGCAAGGTACCCAGGGTGTGTTGGTTGTTGACATGCTTGGACGCTGTGTCAAGTTCTGCCTGTTACATGCATTGTCTTCTTTCAAAATACACTTCCTTTTTAACAGGAAATTTAATGTTAGCATACAGTCTCTTTCAAAATAAAAGCACTACTTCAGTACAACACGGTGAAGTGATGTTTTTTTCCTTCAACAACAAAAACACATGGTTAGGTTTTGGAAAAAAGAACAGGGTTTGGCTTTAGTATCTTACGGGACACAAACACTACTCTCTTGGGTGAAAGTCCATTTTTGTTGGACCCATCCATCCCACCTCCCGGCCCGCCCCAGTAGGACCTTTGCCACCTTAACTTTTGTCCTCTTCCTGCCGTGTTTCCCCCTGACACCGCCGGGCACCATTAAACTATAATGACAACTGGCTGTGTGTCATGCTGACGTTAAAGGATACCTTTTTTAGTTGGTTTCTGACGCCGCAAGTCACTGCCCAAGCACTGGATTTCGACGACCTTAAAGTGAGACCGGGCTCCTGATACTGTGATACCGTGAAACCGCGATATTTTCTCAGACAGTTATTGTGTGAAAATCCCATACTGTTGCAACCCTAACCAGAACCATTTAAGGGTTAACTGAACTGATAACTGATTTTTGTCAATGGAAAATAGTGATCTACGTATTTATATTAAGTTGTGCATACAAATCTTATATAAATATAAATAAAATGTAAAATAAAATAAATATACACATGATTGGGGATTTATGGGGAGAGTCACTGAATTTATTTACTTTCCTTTCCTTAAAATAGTTTGATTATGTATGCACCATCATCATCCTGCCCATGCTGAAATCAAATCCAAATATTTATTTAAATTTATTTTTTTTATTTAATCTTCTCAACCTATTCGTAAGTAGGCCTACAGAGTAAATGTAGGCTTCTTAAACCACTTTCCACAGCTGATCATTTGAAACCTCCAACACAAGAGTAATACATCTGAAAGTGTGCGCATGCGCATGTCTGATTAAGGCTAATTAGTGCACAGGTGTGTTGACAGGAAGTCTATTTAAACCCTGCAGGTGTGTCTTCTGTCTCAGTGTTTTGGTGCTTAGATAGAAACTCTTATTTGAAATGAATTTGAAACAAAGAGGATACAGCTTCTGTGTCCTTCTCATTTACACCATCACAATAATATCTTGTCAGCCCTCTTTATCACAACCTGACGCCCGTTTGATTTTTCATAATGACCGGAGCAGCGTTTTAACGGCTGTAGGCATCACCCACTCCGATAACCGAGAGGACACAGAGTGGATACACCGTCACTCAAGGCTGGGAGAAGAGGCGAGGAACCTCCGGGGCGTTAACAACAGGGACACACAGATAGAAACCACCGGAGGGCCTCAACACACACTCAAACTCAAAATGGCGTCAGCTTTAACTGATAAAAGCCTCAAAACCAGAAACAAACTGAAGAGAAGCGAGCAGGAGTGGATGTATACGTCATTTAATCCTCCAAATAAAGACTGCACTGAAGGGAAGATCCAACATGTCGTCCCTGGAGAGTTTTACATCTCAGGTCAACTTGAAGAGAATCCTAATGTGGGATATCAGTCTGATTCTGCTGCTCAAGGTAAGCTGAGATAACATCACTTTGTTTCTCCTCACAATAAACTTTACTCCCTCTTCTTCTTTATGTTTTTGCTGGTAAATAGTGCATTAACACTGAGTGTGGTATGGAGGCAGGTAAGGGACATAAGGGACTGTTCTTAATTTCTCAGAGGAGGGGTGGCTGGGGTGAAACTTTTGGGTTTTTTTTTTTTACCCTCCCCAAAGCTACTAATATTTTTCCTTGAGCCTCTCTGAGTGAAGGCAAAGTACTACGACACTCAAATTACAGAATAGATACGATAAAAGTGTGGCAGATACTTTTTTAAAGCTACTATAACATAACAATTGTGCGCAGTGTAGCAGTTTAGGAATACAAGCTGTATAGTTTTGCGTAGAAAGTGCAAAATATTGTTGAATTCAGCTTTTGAAATTGCTAACTGAGAAATTTTAGTTTATTTTCGCAAACAAATTCAGAAACACGTTTTTTTAAAGTAAAATATTTCAATGTTTAAACTTCAAAATTTGGGGATCAGTTGCTTATATTCAAATGCTTATGTCTCATATTTGCTTTCATAGGGTGGACTCATAATTTAAGCTGTTACGGCTAAGTAATAAGTAAAATAAAATGATAACCCAGAACACAAAACTATCATGTCCTCTGAATCCAGTTTGTTCAGTTATTCAGTGGTGGAGCAAGTATGCAAATAATTTAATGATGGAAAAAGTTAATAGTAGCAATACCACAGTGTAGAAATGCTGTTACAAATAGTTGATCTCATGTTGTGATACTGGGAATCTGTAAAGTAACCTCAATTTGTCAAATAAATGTAGTGGAGTAGAAAATGGAATTACTTAAGCAAAGTAAAAATACCTTAAAATTGTACTCAAGAGCAGTACTTGAGGAAATTTACTTCCACCACTGCTGGATATTCTTGTCTCCTTGTTTCTGCTTCCTCCTGTACTTCTCATTTATCTTACTTTTCTTTTTCGTGGCCTCTTTTGCAAATGTCCAATATGTGCTCGTATTTGTTTAAATATCCCATCATTTGAATTCAGTATAATGTGTGTTGTGTCTATCAAAACATCTGCTCTGCTTGTTGAATGGTTGTATCTCAGTCTAAAATCTGAACAAACAGCTGCTCTCGATGGTCTTCACTCCACTGTAATGCTAACGAGATCTCTAACAACGAGTGTCTCTCTGCTGTAAAATGACCCGAAATCATCACTGATGCTTTTCGTCAGCTTATCATTAAACTCTGGGACAATGAATGCAGTTAAGATTTTATCGACTTAACTATTTGAAGGAAGAGATCTGAATATAACTGTAGGCCCTTTTTGTTTGTGATTATTTCGATCAGGGGGCATTCATGGTTGTATTGCTGCTGACACACAGGTACAGTTGGCGTGTGTTGCATGTTTTGCTTCCAAAGCTTTTTGTTTCCCTCCCCTCATTTTCCCAGCAAGGCTTTTATATGCGTCTTGTGTCGGATGATCCCAAATATAATCCTGTAATATTCATATTTAGCAGCATGTTTAGCACATTAAATTATTCATTCATTTATTTTCCGTAACCGCTTATCCTGTTAGGGGTCATGGGGGGGCTGGAGCCTATCCCAGCTGACACTGGGTGAGAGGTGGGGTACACCCTGGACAGGCAATCATTCACACTCACATTCACACCTACAGACAATTTAGAGTCACCAGTTAACCTGCATGTCTTTGGACTGTGGGAGGAAGCTGAAATACCAGGAGGAAACCCACGCTGACACAGGGAGAACATGCAGACTCCACACTGGAGCACAGTGTGCTGAAATTAATAGGAGTAATTTAAAAGATGTCACAGATTCAGCAGCCTCAGATCCTCAGGCAGGGAGCTCCAGATCTGAGGGGCGTTCACTGCAAAAGCCTGGTCACCTTTAGTTTTGAGCTGAGACTGAGGAGCAGCCAACAGAACCCTGCCTGAGGATCTGAGGCTGTGCGCTGGCTCATAGAGGAGCAGCATCTCAGCACTGTAACTGGAGGCTGAGCCATGAAGTGCTTTATTAGTGATCAGTAAAATCTTAAAATCAGTTCTAAAACACTTCAATTCAGTTGCACAGAATCCCTTGAAATGTGTCCTTTTGCTACAGAAAAACTCATTTACTGCATTGAAAGGAATTTTACAGTGGTGATAGTTTCCTTGGAGATCATTTGTTTGCGTGGACTGACCGTTGTGACGCCTGTTATTGTCTCACATAGTTGTCCCATTGTTGAATAGTAAAAAAATAGTAGAGGAAAAGAAGACATGAAAACCACATTAGTCAGAGGAGGAAAAGATTAAACTTCTGGAGGAATATGATCACAGAAAGCACAAGTGTAAAATCAAAAGCGTATCAGAACAGTCCTCTCAGGGTGTGTTCGTTTTTTCCATTTATCACTATGAACTCGGTCATGTTGCAGTTAAGACGGAGTCAGAGGTACCGTAAGTGTTTTTTGTTTACCTTGCTTTGGTTGCTAAGGTCTTTTGTGCAACGGTCAAGGGTTCCTTAAGTATAAGACCAAGACAAGGAGAAAACCATAAATACACAAGTGAACATTGTACGAAAACTTTAAGGAGGACTTCAGGGTGTTTTGTGCAACCAGTTTGACGAGGAAACCTTAACTTAAGACTTCTAAGACTTTTTGTACAAATTCATTAATTCAAAGATTTAAAAATTATATTTTCGTTGTGATGATTTTGTTATTTTCTGAATCTGAAATCAGAGTTGCAGTCAGTGCTTCCCTTTACTGGGAGAGCCAGCTATTGCTTCATGTTAATTTGTGCTGTATTCTCAGCTGTGAACTCTGAGGTGGTTTGTTTTCATTCACCAGTCCAGGCTGAGGGAGGCCAGGAGACCACCACAGGTCAGCGGCTCAGCGGCTCAGACGAGAGCTGGCAGAGGCTGCAGCCTGTGGTGGAGTGTGGAGACGACGCCATGACCCTCACTGTCAGGAGGAGACGAGCTGTGCAACTACAGCTGGACCGAGGTGAGCCCTCCGCTTTCACAGATACTCCAGCTTTATCTCTCAATAGTGACGTTGTTATACATAACAGCTGGTGTTGACTTGAGTTTAGACATGCATCTGTTTTCCCTTTTTACTTGTCATGAGTGAATTTAAGGTTTTGTTTTGGTGTCTTTTGTGTCTCAGTGAATGAGTCATCCGTGCCCCTGTCCAGGCTGCCACCTCAGTGTGGTTACTTTGTTCAGACCACATGGAGAGACCTCAGTCTGATGGCTCAATATGATGCCTGCCACATCACAGTGGAGGTATGAAATCCTTACATTACATTTTGTAGATCAGATACCAACACACAGATTAGTTCATCACTACAGACTAAGGGTGGGCGATATGTCACTTTATGCTCTGCCATTTCTCCTCTAATCATCATGCTGTAACCTGTGACCGGCTGTTATGATACCACAACTATCACACATTCACATATATGGAGTTTTTGTCGAGCAGTGAGCGTCAGGTAGGTTTACATTACCAATGGTTTATGACAAAATATTTGATGACACTGACTCCTATGTGCGCATGGTGAGAGAGGAGAGGGAGAGATGCTGTGCTGCTGCCAGAGGAGCCGCTGAATGAGTTCCCTCTGAGCGCTAAGTCAATAAAAGAGTGTGATAAGTCCGGGGCTGTTCATAAAACACTCAGGACGCCACAGTTTATTCCACACTACTGAAGCTGCTCCTCTTTTTGGAACCACTGTGGAGTCAGTAATAATTTCGCTTCAGCCATGCTTGTTGTTGCAGTAGGTAACAGTATGATGTCAATATGTCAACAAGTCAAAATATCGCAAGAATCACGACATGAATTTTCATATGATTTTAAAAATTATACCGGTGTTATCGCGAACAAGATGATGTGGCACACCCCTACTCCAGACTTCAACCAACCAGCTGATACTGGCGAGTTTTTGCACCAAACAATCTTTTTTTTGTAACAGGAACCAGAACGAATCTGCGCACTCATGTTTAATTTGCTCTCGCAGAAGCATCTGGTCCGCTACCTGTTCAGATTTATACTCGACCTGGCTCAGGTCGGGCCAGTTACAACTACATCAAGGTTTGATACGACTGAAGCCAGACTTCCTGTAGGGCGCTCAACAACTTTGATGAGGGACAGAAATTAAAGAGCAGCATGACATCCCTCTTGTTTAGTTACGTTATATCGCAGTAGGTATATTTATCCTTCTGACAGCTGATTTTCTTTTGTCTCTGTATGTGTGCTGCTTTGGAGCCGGTAAGATAATGGAGGGTGAAATTAGTGAGTTAATTTGAATTAAAGTTATTTTAGATTTACTTAAACTGAGAAGACAATGGGAGGGCAAGAAAAAGAGGTGGTCCATTGAACCAAACCAGGGAGCTACAGGGTGAATGTGTGATGGACTGACTACATAACCACTTTGTTGTTGCGTATACCGTCATATTTTGTCACACAAAATTCTCCAGGTGCTTGACATAACAGGAAATAGCTGACTGACATTTTTCCGTCCGAAATACGTTACATCTGTTGAGCAGCACTCATCAAAAGTGTCGAGCTCCCTGCCATAAATCAGGCTTTACAACTTGCCTCCACGCTCAAAGCAAAATACATGATGACTTCATTCTTGGCTCATGCACCCTCACGCCGAGGACATAACAAGCATGAAAGAGATGCGCCGCTGAGGCATTTTCAAAAACAGAATGACCCCTGTTCAAGGACGGGGGTGACTTAAATCACTGGCAATCCAAATTATATGTATTTCCATGATAATTAATTATTTTTATCATTAAAACACATTTCAGCATGCCATCTGATACTCCCACCCCCTGCAGGTACGGTGAAACGGTGCCGTCCATCTTATGTGGGCCATGATGATGCACAAAGAAGTGCCACTAATGTAAACCTAAGGTGGGCTGCAGCCTGATTAGCTGAGTCAGAATGCCTCACCAAAAATCACAAGCTTCCAAAAGAAAAGCCAGGGCACAGAGAGAACAAGAAAATAACGTGTCTGACAAGAAAAAGTGAAGAAGCAGCAGGTATGACAGGCGGAGCTGAGGGTAAGAAGCGAGGTTAACAGATTTCTAGTAAAAAAACAAAAACTGCATTATCGAGCTCATTTTTAAAGCTACAGTGACAACACAGATGTCTATTAACGTAGAGGACCTGAGGAACTCATTAGTACCAACTATCCTCCCCTTTCCATCGTGTCAGAAAGGGGGCGACATTACGCTCCAAAGTAGTGACTAGCCCTGTACTTAAGCTGCTGCTGGTTGCTAATTGGCTGAGTTGTTTGGACATGTACTCAGAAAATTACTCACAATCTTTACCAGTGCTGTATATCATCATTTGTTTTGTTTCTCACCATTGTCCATAAGGTCCATATAACTTCTAGTAACGTTCAACACAAACTTTCAATAAATACAGCCATAGAAATTTTACTCCGAACACAGTCAAAAACTGTTTGCCTCCTGACATCAGCAACACCTGTGCTTACTGGGATGACTCAGCCAATGACATAAGCCACCTAGTGGCGTGGTGGGGTACTTTTTTATTATTATTTTCTACTTTATACCTGGCCCTGCCTTACTTATTATTATTTATTTCACACAAATCAAACGTGTGGCCTTAACAAAAGTTGTGCAAAATTTTGGCAAGAGAAAAAGGAACGTTGCCATTTTTTTTTTTTAAAAATGGTGTATTTAATATTTCTGCATACTGGGGTCCCTAAACAGTCGTTGAATTGCATAAAGTAGGTTTGACTGGAAAACTGAGAGTTGACGGCCATATACTCTTTATACTGTTCCAGCTCTGCACACAATTTGACCAATATTTGATTAAAGTAGCCTAAATGAAGACAAAAAAAATGTTCACTCATGATTCGATGTTAAGATATGTTTTTTTCAAATAATAGTTAATTTACTTTTCTCTTAATTGTTCATTGGAGGACATCTCTCAGCCTCGGACAAACATGTGACCGCCTCTGCTTTCCAAAATACGAAAATAAGGTCTTAACACAGAGTAGATAAAATACATGTGGAAATATGATTAATTGGATTATATTTGCCCCGAAGTATGGTGTGGATGAGGGGCCCACTTTTGAAAATGTTGTCCCCCTGCTCATATTTCCTAACAGCTGGCCTCAGCTGATGTGGAACTTTCTGAAATTTTGTTGTCAGAAATATCAAAAAATCAATGCATATTGATTCTGAATATTCAAAGTGGTTTTCTTCACTATCAATACACCAGTACAGGCTGCACTCTCTCTTATTGTTAATGTTACCTGCTTACCAAGAAAAGATAAGTCGTCATTGTCATGTTATAGCCTTGTTGTTTTTATTGTTTAATAGAAATTAAAAATGTTATGCCCTCAATGTCAGTTTTCCCCCTGGTATCAAAAATGGTATCAAATATAAAAAAATGTTTTCAAGGAATTGATCAAAGTTATAAATTCCAGTATCGTGACACTATGTGAAGTAATATTTTTCAATTCTGATGATAAAACCAGCAACACTATCTCAGACATATTGACACTGCACCATCACAGCTCATCTCTGCATGCTGTGCTCTGTTTATATTTGTCCGTCTCTTGGCACGACGTCATGTTTTGATGCTCTGATTGGTTGTTACTCTGTATAATTCCATCCAGACACATTTTTGTCTTTGTCTGTTGATAACGCCCCGTGGAAATCCAAAATAAACTGAGAGGTTCCAGATTAAGATGAATCATACATTTCAACTGAAATGACTCACTACACTCTTACGTCACCTCGACAGGACAGTTGGGGACTTTCATGGATGGTTGACTCATGATTGTGATGTTTGTTTAATGGGAAAAGCTTGTTTGTTAATTATAGTCACCAGCAGTAAAAGTATAAATTAATGCTGTTTAAAATATGTGTTCAGGACGACAGCTATGTGTTGCCTCTGCTGTGGAGAGGGACTCCAGTCAAGATGTCCTGCCCAGTGTCTCAGATCCAGCCTCAGGCTGCGGTCCCGCCCTCCCTCTGCTGCTCCCTGTATGGTATGACTGTCAGAGTGCAGGGAGACTCTGCTACAGAGGAGCTGAGGGTGAACGGTAACCTCAAAAATTGAATTTCTCCTTCCATTCTGTTAGCACTCAGTTCACTCTGATTTTCTTCCTCTCTGTGGTTTTGTAGACATTTTAAAATAAATTTGACAGTAGTTTTTGTCCTTCTCACAACAGTCAGAGGAGAGTGGACCCCTCTAGTGGTGTTGGCTGAGCAGTGTGGCTACACTTTGGACAGACGAGACGCAGAGATCGTAATCACTGCTCCATTCGTGACATGTGGCATCATAGTAAAGGTGAATTTTAGAAAAGTCACTATTCATTCAGACACTGAAATTACATTTTCAATATGTGAAATAGCACAGTGTGTTTCTGTTTATGATGTCCCAAAGCACATTTATCCTATTAATGATGCTAATAATAATATCTTGTGTATGAAGACATAAGGAATGTACTTTTAAGTAAAATGACTTCTCTCCATGTTGATTTGTTTTGGTTAGATGATCATGATAAATTTGAGTTTTGTTTCAGAAGGGGCAGAGTTTCTTTGCCAGGCCTGAGACAGAAGGCAGTGTATTCAGTTTCTGGACTGAGTAGTTAAATAACATGTACTTTGGCTTGTTACTGCAGTGTCGACGTAATGGTGTCTTGTAAACCCATGAGGGTTGGGCAATTAAAAAAAAAAATCTGTCAATCAACCCTAATATCTGTAGGTAGAAAGTTTTTTTGATCAATACTAAAACAAATTTCATAGAAAAAAAGTCAAACTCCTGATTACAGCTTTTTAAATGTCAATATTTTCTAGTTTCTTTCCACCTCCGTGACACGAAACTGCATATCTTCAGGTTGTGGACCAAATGAGTCATTTGAGGACGCCATTTTGGGCTTTGGAAAACACTGATAAACACTTTGTACCATTTTCTGGCATTTTATAGATCAAACAACTGATAGAGTTAATGAAAAAACAATCAACAGATACTGATATTTTGATATTTATTTTGAAAGTGTAAAAAAACAAACATAAAAAAAACAAGCAGACAGATAAAAGTAATATTTACAAATACTAAAAAGCAGTTGTCAGTGTATAAATCATCCCTTCAGACACCTTCCTCATATAGATAAACCTGTACCTAATAATTGATCAAATTAGCCCATGTATATGTGTGTAATAAGTACCAAATATCTATCTAACAAAAACCTGTCTTAGTATAAATATAGATTACTATTATTAGATTAATCGGCAATAAAAATAATTATTCGTTGCAGCCCTAGAAATCTTGTTTGTATTTATGTAAAATTTAGAAGCTTTTTAGCATTTGTGGGAATCAAAAAATCTGCAAGAATCAAAATGATCATCTGCAATAAATACAAGTGTGAAATACCATATGTTAAATAAATTCATAGATCAATCACAAAAATTAAATGTTCACAAAATAATGAATAAAACACCCACTGTCTCAAACCAGCCTCATTGGACAGAGGTTCCCAAAACAATCGTCGTATTTGCATCTGAACATGTCCTGCAGCGTGTCGAAACACCGACTTCAGACATTTACTATCCTAAACTGTGTGTGTGTGTACCGTCTCTCACAGAAAACCTCTGATCTTTTTTCAGGATGGAAAACACACACTTTCTCTTCAGATAGGAGAGAACACATTCACACTGGCCTGTCCCATATCTCTGCCTGAAGAACTCCCACTGACCCATCAGCCTCTGGCCAACAGCCATCATCATCTAACCACATGGCACATGCCAGAATCCCTGGAGTCTTTTCCCTGGGCTCCACCTTTCTACCTGGCCCCGCCTTACTACCCCCACCCTACATATCACCACAAGTATCCAAGTCCTGATGGACACGATGCGTTTAACCCTCCTTCTCCCTCATCTGTGACTCCTGAGCCTACATCTGGTCCCCAGCCTCTCCATCCTTATGAAATTCCTGTGAGGGAGTCTTATAAACATTTTGATGTCCACAGTTCTCTGTCACATACAGATGAGGAGGATTCAGGTGGTTTGTATCCAGATCTGCAACAAAAGCAAGAAACTCCAGTCTTTGGTGTGTCTGACGGCCACGGTGCTGCTCACGCCCCCTCCTCGGATACAGGCCTTCCTACTCAAGCTGAACCACCTCCTCTCCAGCCCCCCAGCCATGCCTTCAATCCATACTATCACTACTACCATCACCCTAAAATCCCTCTTCCTGGTCCAACTCCAGATCGTGATCCAAAGTCTTTAACAAATGCTCACAACCCTGAACAGCCAGTGTTACCCGCTGACGTGCAGTCTGAGGCTCTCCACAGAGTCAACTCACAGCAGCTCCTTCAGCCGGTGCCTGAGGCCGCCTCTCATCCTTACACTGCTCCTCCCAAAGCCTCTGCACCTCAGACACCTCATCCTCCACAGCCCTATCCATACCACTACTATTACTTTCCACATGTTGCTAAAGGCGAGGCTAAAAGAGTGGCTCCTCTCAGCTCTGACAAAGCTGCAGAAACTAAATTATCGTCGAGCACCTTGGTTCATCCGCAGCCTCGCTCGTCACAAGTGCACGACCAATACTACTTAAATCCTGACATAGATCAGCCAGATGAGGTGATTGATTATCCTAAAAATATCCACCCACTTTTATCTGAAGAAGAGCTGCATGAAAAGAAGAGACACTCTGCTCCTGTGACTCCTGCAGTCCAATCTCCCCTCCCTATCAGTAGTAATCCTCCTGGAGCAGACACTATTAGACCTCTACCTCCTAAACAACCCTCGTTCCCCACTCCATCACCCATCCATAATCTCCCTGCTAACCCGTACTACCACCACCCTTATTATCACTACTATCAGATGTATTATGGACCTGAGAGTTTACCCAGTGCTGACAGTCGTGTGTCTCCACCTCCACCTCCACCTCAAGAAGCTTTGGACCCTTTGCTTGAAGCATCTCCCTCCACACCACCGCCCCATCGCAAACATCAAACCACTGCTCCACCCACAAAATCAATGTACAATGTTCACAACGGCCCCATTCATCCATACTACTATTATTACCACCACTACTTCCAGCCTGAAGCATCCGTGCAGGAACTACACCCTGCAGGCAGTATGAACCCTGAGAAAGCATCAACATCAGAATCTCCGCCTCCATCTGACTACAGGGGGATGGACTGGCAGGTTCATGCTGCTGAGGCAGGATATCCCAGCATCCCTCAGCTGCTGCACAGCTCCGTGTATAGCCTCGATTCCCATTATGTCACTCAGCAACATCCATATGTTCCCTTTGGGCATCCTGGTGGAGAAGAAGCAGAAGACAGGCAGGATAATAAAATGAAAGGTGAGTAGTGAGAGAGAAATTCCAGCAGCTGTAAAATCGTGTGATGCTTTAGTTGTTGCAGTGGTGCTCAGATGTTGTGCTGTGATGCCAATCTAGGTGTGCCATGAGATTTTCTGATAACCACACTATTACTATTGCAATATAATGAATCTTTAATTGAGTCAGTATGTTGTGTGCACCCATTTCCTGATAAAGACGCAAACTGTAGCTAAAAAAATATATTTTAATTTTAAAAAACCTTTTCAGGGAACCTATTCATCTATGGAAATTATGTGTGTGTCATTGCTTATGTCGTGATAAGAGTGATAACACATGCTATAGAAGCTGTTGGGCACAGTTATAAGTATAGGTGTGCCTTTGTAACAAAAAGTTTGAAAACCACTGGTCCAGGGTTCTCACGGTCATGAAATTCCTTGAGTATTTAGGAAAAAATTTCAGCCATTGTTTAAAATTCGTTCATAAAAATGACATGTCTGACATTATTAGAATACATTCCTTGTATTACTAATTTATAATCTAGTACTATACGGCATGACCATTTAAACCAGTGGTTCCCAACTGATCCAGTCACAGGGTCCAGGTTTCTCCGTAGCCATCAGTTCAAGGTCCACACAGTTTAATATTCAGCATCAGACTTGTGTTTGGCCATGTCGTCCAGCTAGTTTGCTGTCTCTGTCAAGTAGCTGTCAGTTACTCACTCACTGTACAGCAGGAAATGGCACTTCTAAATAAAAACTGTGCTGTAAACTCACCGCACTTATAAATAAATTGTGTCTTTTACAAACTTGACACGTTTGTGAGTCGCTCCATTCAGAACGGACCCACGACTCACTTTTGGATTGCGACCCACCAGCTGGGAACCACTGATTTAAACATCACAAGTATCACCTGATACACATTGCTGTATGGAGCTAGTTGGCGGTGGAAATGTAATGTGTGAGTGATCTTGGCAAGGATTTGCTCATCTTCGAATGCCCAGGAAGTATGTGTTTAATGTAGCTTGGGTGCATTCTGAATCGCATACTACTACAGCTGCTCTTAAAAAGTCTGTACTGTTGTGTGCAGTATGCACACCATCAGGACATACTACTGTCTCATAGTGTTGTCACGATACCAAAATCTTTGTTTCGGTACCAATATGAATTTCGATATGACTTTTCGATACTCTTCGGTACTTTTCCTAAGGAAAAGTCCTTTTGGATACAAACCTTTAGAACAATAAATAGTTGGGGTGTAACGGTACCAAAAAAATCATGGTTCGGTAAGTACCTCGGTACGGACGTCACGGTTTGGTAACTCAAATGTTCCACCAAGTTTGTGTTGTCTCGTGTTGTCTCCCTTTGCGAGGCAGACTTTCTCTTGTCTTTTTTCACGTGCGCCAGCTGCAGATGTTGATACAGGTGTTGTCATACACACCACTTGTGCAATCTGTGCTCCAATAGGAAGAAGAAAGGCGTTTGTGTGCATAAATGAGTAAAATAAATTAACTAAATTAATGAATTGAATCAGTTTCAAAGTACTGGTATTTTCCAAATGCAGTATAGTACCGTTTGGAATACTCTAGTACCGCGGTACTATTTTAGTACTGGTATACCGTGCAACACTACTGTCTCATAACATTACGCCCTGAACTTTGACCCTCTTGCTTTTATATCTGTTGCCTTGGAGATAAAACAAACGCCACTTGTCAAGTTTGCCAGAGATGGAGGTCAATCCAGAGAGCTCTGCTGTTCTTACTTTGCGATGTGTGTAATTTAACTTTACAGTCAGAACTGTTATTTTCATAGTTATGTCCTTTTTGTTTTTGACAATAGTTTTGATCATTCTGCAGATCTCTCTAAGTTGACCAACATCTCTGGAGAGCCTAGTGACAGGCGTTTTGTTTCACCTCCAAGGTCACAAATATATGTGCGCGAGAGTCAAAGTTCAGGGTGTTATCTTAGTAGTATGTCCCGATTGTGTGCATACTGTATGCAGTGGTACGTACTTTTAAGGGCAGCTGCAGTACGTACTAAAAGTAAAAAGAAAAGTATATGATTAAAGTGTGTGTTCTCGCCACATTTGGAAATGATCCCTTCTTCAAACCACCTGCTGTCAGAGAGGCTTGGAGGCAGGCTATCTTAAATTACTCAGTCATGTCAATGATGTAAAATATTATGGAAAAGATCTGAAAATTCACCGGTAAAAATGTGTGGGAACCCTGAGTGTCTGATTAGATTCTGTTTTGGAGAGATATCTTTTACTGTTAGTGTCTTGACTTCACCACAAGGGGGCAGAACGTTATTCAGTCCTGAGCATCTGGCCCTGGCTGTAACCAGACACCTGAATCTGGATTTATGAATCCATCATCATCTCATGCTACTGAATAGAAGCATTCTAGTAAAACTGGCTCTCTTCTCTTTGTTTACCCTGCTCTCAGATCAGCTCCAGGCTGGTCCGTACACTCCCTCTGCTGCCTTGCCCTGTGGCCTTGGCCTTGTGTCAGACTCTGACTGCAGCATGTCTTTAGGCTGCTGCTCGTACCCTGTGAACGGTGAGTCTCTCCCAGAACAGATCCTGTCAACACACGCCTGACTACAAATGAATTGACAATGAAGACAACATAAAGATTTGATGATTGATGTGAGGATTTTCAGGCTGGAAACCTACGCCCAAATCACCACACTGAACGAATGACATAGTTTGGTTAAAATATTATAGATATTCAAATGTAGACACAAAAGGCATTTTTTTTTGTTCTGTGGTCAAGATGAATTTACAAGATTGTCTCTGGTACACTTTTTCACCAACACTGAACACGTTCGTTGTGGTTCCTGTACCTAGTTTTGAGCCGTTCAGAGCATTTCAACCAAACAAAAAATTGTTTTGGATCGTGAAAAGTTGAGTTCCTTGACATGGAGTGTGATCCACGACATCAGTGGGTGAGTCATATTCTCCAGGTTGAAAAGAGAGGGTGGAGAAGTGAGAAATCATTGGAAAAAGAGTGTTCTGTGGTCTCTGTAATGTGAATGAATGAATGAATTTTTTATTATTGTGTCATACAAACGGTTGTGCCCAGCCCGCATGGTCTTACAAGACACCATAAAATCAAAAACAAGCCAGGACCAGATTCCAGTGTGCATATTTTCAGGGCTTTATAAAAAGGCAGCGACCAGGTGCCAGATTACAAGCAGCAGGCGTCCAAGAGAGAGAGCACAGAAAGAAACGCAAATATAGTGAGCCGAAATGCAAATGAGCATGACTCTGGGGTTGGTTGTTAATTTCACTTTCCACTGGTGAGCGTGTTTACAAAAGCACCCGACCATTCTGCAGAGCATACCTTTAAGTCTGTTATTTGTTCCTTTATGTGACGCTTTTTATGCCGCCGTCTTGCCGTGGACTTCCTTCTCAGTCAAAATATTCCAGTTAAAACAAAAGTTAAATATAAACCAGCGCAGCTCAGGAGTGACTTTGTGTGTGTGTGTGTGTGTGTGTGTGTGCCAACAGACTGTACAGTGGGACAGCATTTAGTCTTTGCGGTGCCCGACTCTGTGGTGGAGCCCACAGTGGCCCTGCCTGCTCATCCCACTGAGGCCAGTAATGTGTCCTGCACGCTGCAGAAGCTGACCTCTGACCCGCACATCTACACTGTCCCGCTGGACGGCTGTGGAGTAAACAAACAAGTGAGGCACACTGTTATGTGTACCATGTGATGCAGAGCAGCTGTGATGATGCTTTGTGATAACCATCTTTAATGTGGCTGAATAGAGCGATGCTTTACATGCTGACTGACATGCATCACACTGTTGCTTTGTGAGAGCACGACATAATTTTTCCAACGTTGTTTACTTGTCAGGTGTTTGGTCAGACAGTGGTTCATCTGTTGGAGGTCCATGGTGTCCACGCTCTGCAGGACAACTCTCCTGTCAGGTACGGCAGCAGCATGCAGACACATGTGATTCAAAGTGCTCTACAGGGACTTTTTTTTTTTTTTTTTTTAATTAAACCATATTGATTGAGTGTCTTTTACAGGAGGGCATTTTTTCTGCTGTTGGTTGTGAGGTACAAATGATGGTCAAAGGTCAAGGTCACTGTGACCTTGTCTGTCTGAATTATCATGAACACGGTATCTAAAGAATGTGAGTAAATGTCTTTAAATTTGGCACTCAACAATGAGCTGATGGTTTTTGATGGTCAAAGGTCAGGGTCATTGTGACCTTGCGTCCATCTTATTCTCATGAATACAGTATCTCACAAACAGCTTGACGGAGTTTCCTTCAAATTTGGCACAAATGTCCACTTGGACTCAACAATGAACTGATTATAGTGGTCAAAAGGTCAAGGTCTATGTGACCTCATCTGTTTCATTCTTGTGAGCTTGTTATCTCACAAACAGCTTGAGGGAGTTTTCTTCAAATTTGGCACAAACGTTCACTTTGACTGGACAATTAACCGAGATTTTGGTGGTCATAGGGTTCATAGTTCACTGTGACCATGTCTGTCCCATTTTTGTGAACGTGATATCTCAAGAATACCTTGAGGGAATTTCTTCAAATTTGGCTTAAACATTCACGTTGACTGAACAATGAACCAAGATTTTGGTGGTCAAAGGTCACTGTGACCTCGTCTGTTTCATTTTTGTAAATGTGATATCTCAAGAATACCTTGAGGGAATTTCTTCAAATGTGGCTCAAACATTCACTTTGACTGGACAATGGTCACTGTGACCTCGCCTGTCTCTTTCTTGTAAATCCGATATCTTTTCAGTTTCAATTTATTTGAAGAGGACAGTGCATATTAATGAACAATCGGTACAAATACATGACTCATCTCAAGAACGCCTTAATGGAATTTCTTTAAATTTGACACAAACATCCACTTGGACTGAAGAATAAACTGATGAGATTTTGGTGGTCACAGGTCACAGGTCACGGTCACTGTGACCTTGTCTGTCTCAATTATCGTGAACACGATATCTCAACAACAACATGAGGAAATTTCTTCAAATTTGGCACTTAATGAGCTGATGAGTTTTTGATGGTCAAAGGTCAGTGTTGTTGTGACCTTGTGTCCATCTTATTCTCATGAACGCAGTATCTCATGAATAGCTTGAGGGACTTTTCTTCAAATTTGGCACAAACTTTCACTTGGACTTAACAGTTAATTAATTAGATCTTAGTGGTCAAAGGTCAAGGTCTGTGTGACCTCATCTGTTTCATTCTTGTGGACTTGTTATCTCACGCACAGCTTGAGGGAGTTTTCTTCAAATTTGGCACAAGTTTCACTTGGACTCATTGAACTGATTAGATTTTGGTGGTCAAGGTCACTGTGACCTTCCGTCCATCTCATTCTTGTGAATATCCCAAGAACGCCAAGTTGTAATTTCTTTAAATTTGACACAAGCATCCACTTAAAGAATAAACTGATTAAAAAACTTGTTGTCAAAGGTCAAATGTATGTTTTTGGCCACAACTCAAGAATTTATACGCTAATTATGACAAAACTTCATACAAATGTCTAACAGGATTAAATAATGAAATGATGACAATTTGTATCCAAAAGGTCAAAGGTCACCTTCACTATGACATCATAATGCTGTGTAAAAACACTTTCCTAGCCATTACTCAACGTCATAACTCAGGAACAGAAGGAGAATAATTTGGTCAGATACTGAATTTATGACTCTAATCTTGAAACTGTGCTGATTGTGTAGATCTTCTGTGTGTGAAGCATTCATATGTTCACAGACATGGATGGAAACTGTAAGAGAAACTTGACTGGTGGGCAGAGGCATATGATCTCAGGGCAGTAAATCTAGTTTTACCTTTACGTCCTGTAAATAGGGGAGCACAAACTACCTATACATACAAGTTACTAAATTGGCAGCATGTTTAAAACAGAGCTGTTGATTTGTTTGTGGCGAGGCGAAAGGCCCAGATGATCATGGTCTGATTTTACGTCACTGTCATCAGTCAGGAAACACCCACCAGATACACACAGACACATCTCCACCCTCTGGGCCAGTGACAGAGAAAAGATCCAAGATAAATATGGTCTCAAAATACACAAGATGACACAGTAATTATTCCATGTGTCACAAGATGCTCACCTTAGTTTGGGATGTTGACACGCTCTGCATCTACTTTGTCGTTAGATTTGTTTCCGTCTCATCAGCTGCCTGTGTTGATCTTTAGGTTGATGGTGGAATGTAGTTCCTCTCTAGGTTCTCCAGGTGAAGTGAGGCTCCATGTGTTGGATCAACCTCCTCCACCTCCCCTTCAGTCTCCACCAGCCACTGTCACTGTGCAGTTGAGAATTGCCACAGGTGAATCTCTTCTGTCTTCTCTTTAAATTGCTCATCATCTTTTGACGTTTTCACCTGGTGTTTAAAATCAGCAGGTTGATGTCTGAGCGACAGGCTTTTAATGTGACAATATTGTTGTCCTTGTAGACTACTCCTTCACCAGCTTCCACCCTGAGGCTCACCTTCCTCTCAGCTTCCTGCGAGGCACACCTGTTTATGTGGAGGTGAGCCTGCTGGAGGCCCCAGAGCCCGGACTGGTGCTGCTGGTTCACTCCTGCGTGGCTTACACTCAGGCTCCGTACACCAGCTGGATGCTGGTTTATGACGGGTATGTTACACACAGAAACTGAATAGTCTGTTGTGGCAGCTTCAGATGTGAGTGTTTAACAGACTGAGCAGGATGATTGACTATAGCTCACTTTTATCTTTTCATGGGATTTAGTCAAAGACCAATATGCCCGCTGACTTTAAAATACATCCTGTGCTGATTTCCCCTGATTGTTGCTTTTTACTCACAAAGCTCAGGAGTTTAAAGAACAACCAATTAATTTATCCCCTTCTGCTGGTTGAATATGAAGCGCCTTGTGCCTACAAATTACTTTGCTTTGTTGAGTGAGTGTGTTATTGTTCTACACCAAGCTTTTTACTTTCTGTCTGTTGGTAGGAGCTTATCTTATTTATAAAGTTTGTTTAATTATGTGACTGAGTCTCACATGCACCTGCAGGAGTCAACAGGATATGTCAGTATGTTATAATCTGTTCTGCTTTATATGCAGCACCACCAACGCGATAATGACCTAATGGGACAGACGTTGAGTGTAAACCAGATTGTTTACAACTATTGGTCACTTTACCATGACATTTAGTGATCATAATGCTGAGGAGATGATTCATTTATGTATTTGGGAATTCACCTCTCATTCATCACCATCTTCAAGTCAGCGTCTCACCCCCCAAATTACCATTAATATATCAGAGTAGGTAGATTTATATATCTACCTACTCCCCCTTGGTTCCATCATCCGTTGTCATGGTTTCCATTTCCACTGCTACGCTGACGACATCCAAATCTACACTTCCACAAAATCCATCACCCCAGCCACCCGCTCTACCGTCACCAACTGTCTGACTGAACTCCAATCATGGCTGCAAGCCAATTTCCTCAAACTCAACTGTGACAAATCTGAAATAATACTCATTGGCCCAAAATACTTCTCTACATCAACACAAAACTTCACCCTCAGCATTGACAACATCACCCTCTCTCCCTCCCCATTCATCCGCAACCTTGGTATCATCTTCGACAATAACCTCTCATTTGAACATCACATCAGCCGCCTCGCCCAAACTGCCTTCTTTCACCTTAGAAATATTGCCTGTCTTGCCTGCCGCTGAAACTCTCATCCATGCTTTCATCACCTCAAGACTGGACTACTGCAACAGCATCCTCTACGGCTCATCATCCAAAGTCCTCAATAAACTTCAGTACATCCAAAACTCTGCTGCCCGCCTCCTCACCCACACCAGCTCCCGTGAACATATAACCCCTGTCCTGCAAAACCTACACTGGCTCCCTGTCCCGTACAGAATCAATTTCAAGATCCTCCTCCTCACCCACAAAGCCCTCCACAGCCAGGCCCCCTCCTACCTCACGGACATGCTCCACCACCACACTCCCTCCCGTAACCTTCGATCATCCGACAAAAACCTCCTCTCACCTCCACACAGGACCAAGCACTGAACCTGGGGCGACAGAGCCTTCTCCATAGCCGCCCCCTCCCTCTGGAACACCCTCCCTATACACATCCGTGACTGTCCAAATCCATCCACCTTCAAATCACTCCTCAAAACCCCCCTTTTCAAATCCGCTTTTAACCTTTAACATTAGCTTTTCTTTCTCTGTTCCTTATGTGCCCTCCTTTTCTTTGTTTTGCACTATGCTTTTGCACCTTGTTGTTTTATATTGTCCTTGTCTTCTGTTTATCTCTTTGCACTTAGATGTATGTGCTTCTTTTCTTTGGTTTTAAATGTAAAGCGTCTGAGAGCTGTAAAAGCGCTGTATAAATAAAATGTATTATTATTATTATTATTATTATTATTATTATTATTATTATTTATTATTAATTACTTACCATGTGTTACACTGAAATCATTAAGAAAACTTAATTGTTCTTGCATGCCTCCACAGTAAACGAAGAATCCAAGAAATTACAAAATTCTTGATGAACTGAAGTCACAGGGTTCACGTTTAACAGCAGCAAAACTAAAAGAAAACATCCATTTATAGACTCAACACAACCCATCCTGTATAATCCAAGTCTCATTTATCCAGTCGTATGCTCAGTATTTACTAGTTAAAGGTCCAGTGTGTAGGATTTAGGCGGATATATTGGCAGAAATTAAATATAATGTTTTCTTTAATGTATAATCCACTAAAAATAAGAATTGTTGTGCTTTCATGACCTTAGAATGAGCCGTTTTGTGGCCCCTGGTCCGGTTGTCTTGGAGAGGAAGAGACCCCACATCAGTGGTTTCTGAGAATAAATCTTAATGTTTTGGAGATATCGATAAAAATCTGACTGGCAGATGACCCTCAAAGTGTCAGGCTACATCTCTGCTCATCTTCTACTTAACATTTGTAAAACTTCCACCTCTTAGATTTTATTTTGTCCAGCACTTTTGTATTTTTGGGTGCAAGTAATCCTGCAGCTGTAAATCCAAAAGAACACATTTGGCTTTTTGCCTGGTTTTATTTCTTGTGCAGAGTTTTACAGTTGTAACTGTGAATCCCTCACTGTGTGTTGTTCAGCTGTCCCAGCCGGAGTGATTCACAGCTGCTTCCTTCCCCACACTCTGATCCCCACCACATCCGGAGGATCTTAATCTCTGGCTTCCTGTCCCTGCCCTCAGAAAGTCCCTCCTATATGACTGAAGGAGGACAGCCTCACCTGGAGGACCCTGAGGTATCTTCCTGAACCAACACGTCCATACAAACATCTATGTTGTCTTTGAAGTGACCCAAAATGTTTTATGTTCAAGCTGCCTTAAATCTCTACATGTACACTAGGATCACTGTAACCATGTATTAAAACTATTTCAATGTTTTCCTGTTGTATTTTTTTTTCTCCCCTCAGATCTACTTCCTGTGTTTGACAGAAGTGTGCTCTGCTGCAGATGGTGACTGCACCGTCGGCTGCATCAACAGTAAGTTTAATACGGTGGTAACACATCATAGGGTGCAGGGGAGGAAAAAAAAGAAAACAGGGTGTCGAAAAATATTAGTTTTGCACCTAAAATTCAGAATCGCTGAATATAATAAGCAAAGTGTTTCAATGGTGTTTGGAGCAGGCGGTGCAGACAAAATGTTTACCAGTGTGTGAGTGCAGACCAGAGTGAGTTTGATGTTGTCGAAAGCAGGGCGAGTATGACGTGCGGCTGAACACACACTCCTAAGCAGAGCTGCTCTATGCCTGTACGTGACAGCTCCTCCCTAAAACAGTTCTAGTATGAGGCACTTTGGAGCAGAGTTAAAATGCGGACATCCAGAACCAAAAAAGTTTGAAGGGAAAAACATTATATTTGAATTGCATATATACACACACAGCATCACAAATAACCAAAGCTTCTCTAAACATTAATGAGTTATGCTGTGATGTAGTTATCAAAAAGGTAAACAAACTTTACGTAACCCCGGTTCTCAGAGTGGCACGAGTGAGATGTCTCACCAGGCAGCCCTTCTTGCTCGGGCAAAACGACAAAAAGGTGCTTATTTTAAGGGCCTGTTCATACGGTTCCGTATATTTCTGAAAACAGGTACTTACCTTTGCGTTTGCATCTATCATTTACATGTAACCGGCGTTTTTTTCTCAACGAAAACCAAGATTTTAAAAAACAGCTTCAAAAGTGAAAGTTTTTAAAAATATCCGTTTCTGTGGAGATGTGTAAACAGGATAGACGGAGATTTTGGAAAACGATGACGTTGCAACCCACTGCTGCAGCAACATCACCGCTACATCAGCGAACAAAGACATCCGCTGTGCCCAATATTAGTAAGTGCATAGCAGCTAACTATGCTACATAAGGTTAAAATGTAGTTTATCATTGTTTTTATCACTAGCACCAAGAGGAAAACAAATCACTATATGCACAGAACGTTCTTCTATGGTGTTTGACATATGGCGTATCGCCACCTACTGGCCTGGCATGCTAATTGCAGCAAACAGCTGCCATTTTTGCGTTTAAACAGGGATATCGTTTTCACAGCTGATCGTGTAAACCCAGAATTTTTTTTATACAAGATAAATAAAACTTTGTTTTTATTTGTATCGGTATCCGTGTAAACAAGGCCTAAATGATGATGATGGATCCACCTGATGCTGATGTCACAATCACCAGCCAATCAGGATTGGTGTAATGAGAGAAATGCTTCTGAGGTATATCCAGCGAGGCGTATCCCATAGTGAGACATTGGAACAAATGCTGTGAATGAGAACTATCTTTACCATGTCAGGAAACCACAGGCTACATTCATGGCAGCGTTCATTGTTGTTTCCATGGACACAGTGAATAATCCAACTAATTTTCAGTTCTTATTCATAAAAGAGACAAAAACATGGGGGATAATGACATAGTATGACTTATTCAGTATGTCAAGGAAGGCATGATCAAGGCCGATGTTTAACAACCTGCGGCTTGTCTTTCATAATATGTGGTCTGCTCAGTTTATCAAGTAAGATCACTTTGCATTTTTTCTATTCACCTTATGATCTATCACAGTTTGTTGACATGCACCAAGCAGGAACTACGCAGGTGACACTATTCATAAACAGACAGTAAACAAGCAAAAGAACTGTTTGCTCATGGCAGTCATTTCCTGCTACGTAGCAGACATGACCACAACAAGAAGTCGACAGGGAGGGCTGCGGTGAAGTGTTTAACAGGTTTGCACAAGATGAATCAGTTGTGTTTGTCTCATTTGCATGTGATTTTTTTTTTTTTTCAAATAACCCATATGATGAGAGAAGCAGATGGTCCCTGGGTATTTGATTGGTGTATTAATTAGAGTTTGAAGGCTTTGGCACCCATTAGCTGACCTGGTAGAGCAGGCAGCCCATGTACAAAGGCACTTTTTATGTTTGACAAATTGTATTTTTAACTGCTATTCCGAGAGTCAGAGCAACAAAATTTCATTCTAGTGCACTGGTTTTTACATGTGTCCTTGAATGACAATAAAGTATTCTATCTATCTACATTTTACCTTTCATTGAGTGATTCCACAGTGCCTTACAATTAGCCAAAAGCCACTGACACAATAACGGTGTCTACAGATATCTGACAGTTAATTTTAATGCGTTTTAAGACCTGTTCAAGACACATTTTTAACCTAATTTAGGACATATTTTTGGACAAATCATGTTTAAAGGGGAACTAATGTTTTTTTCAACTCGTTCTACTTTTGTCTAAATGAGTGATAGGGTGTTCAATATGTGACATTTCTCCAGTACGAAGCTAGGGCTGACCTGCCTGCAGCCCGTGAATGCGCACTATATTAAATAATGGGACACTCAGACAGCGTCAAACAACATCAAATACGGATTGTTAGTATAATTATCCGACAACATAACGGAAAGGAGAAATTAATGTCTGTGTTTACCTTTAGCTGGATTCAGACATGTTCCTCTGCCTGTTGCTGCTCCCTCTCTCTCCTCGTCAGCTCTTCAGTTTCAATGAGCTCTCCGTCCGTGCACGTCCGTGTACTCCGTGTTCAAATAAATACGGGCGGTCATCAAATTCAAATGGTTCATCCAGATCCAGTTGGTCAAAATCGGGTAAAAATTCAGCCATGACTACTACGCGTTTGTAAGGTCAGTCCAGCAGTTAACTTCCTGCAACAACTCAAATCTCGTGAGACGTGAGATTTCAGAGCCAGACTTTCACTCTCTGAGTGAGTGTTTTGACTTGCCACAACACACACATCTGAATTTTCACCCGATTTTGACCAACTATTTTGACTATTTTCCGTTATTTGAACACGGAGTACATTGATGTACACGGAGGCAGAGCTTGAGGGAGCTGAGGGAGCAGCAACAGGCAGAGGAACATGTCCGAATCCAGCTAAAGGTAAACACAGACGTTCATTTCTCCTTTCCGTTATGTTGTCAGATAATTATACTAACAATCCGAGCCTATCTGTGTGGAAAAAATGCACTTTTAGTGGACGTATTTTGACGCTGTTTGACGCTGTCTGAGTGCCCTATTATTTAATACAGCACGTGCTCACGGGCTGCAGGCAGGTCAGCCATAGCTTCGTACTGGAGAAATGTCACATATTGAACATCCTATCACTCATTTAGAAAAAAGTAGACTGGAAAATAGGGCCCAGGTTGAAAAAAAAACATTAGTTCCTGTTTAAGAACCACAGTTAAGCATTGCAGGCAGATAGTTTGTATGTGGTCTTGTGCAGAGCTATTATGTAGGAATATGGTGATTAGGATGAGTTGAGTCAATCTACATTTTGCCAACAGATAAGTGCAAGTATGAAGTAAAATGACATTATTAGTTTTTTCAAAGATTTGTAACATTAACATAGAAAGGGTTCATAAATTTAACAAAAAGAAATTAAGAAAGGATAAATGAAATTAGATAAAATGTTTGTAGTAGTTGAGACCTCACAAATTAAAATTTAAGACGATTAAATTACTTTTAAGGCCTTTTTGTTGTGACAAATTTAAGACATTTTAATACCCTGACCTGTAGACACCCTGAATATGTGGCAGATGCAGCACAAATAAGGCTACAGAAGAATCATAATCATATGAAATTTGTCAGCTTTTATCTTTGTCTTGAGGACTCGTACATCATAACATTATTTTTATTTTTTCCTCACAGGTCCCAGCAGTGACGTGTGAGCAATCAAATAAACACTTTTACACAACTGCAGTGTTGTTTTGTTTTATGTAAATAACAAGTACACAAGTCTCTGTGAAGAACAGGGAGAAACCCTCCATAAAATATTTATTTAAAAACAATACAGTGCAATGCAACAGTTAGTACTACAAGGTACAGAGAAAGAAAACATGCAATCCTCTCTAAACAGAGGATTTATCATACAACTATTTGGTCACAAGCTTTTGGCAGGAACATGAGGGAATGAAAACGTTTAACAGAAATGACCGTTAATGGCAATGTGTTTCCCTTTTGTGTCAAACCAGCATTAACAGGAAGGCAGCACTTTAATGAGTCACAGCTCTGAAGCATGCCACTTGGCAATGTTTGTACAGTCAGTTTAACAGCTTCAAACAGTACCTGCTGCCTGTGGAGAGCCTGCAGAATATTTCTGTCACACCCAAGAATGTCCTCTGGACGTATAATCATGAATAAAAAAATAAAAAGGAATGCAAAGTTACAGTAACAGATACATTACTTGTACTAATATATCATTACACCTCTAAAAAATTAAAGAGAAATGTCAAGAAAGTGAAGCTAACTGTCCTGACATCCTAAATAGCTGGTGTGACGATGCTACTGTTTCAAGTGGTAAACCCTATCGCTTAGCGTAGCCTGAAATGAACACTTGAAGTAGATTTGAAAGAAAATGATCCCTTGTGCATTTATACACACATTTCTAACACAAACAGAGATATTTGCTGATGGCTCAGTGAGTCTTTAACTCAACAGACAAAGGCACGACACATCAGCAGCAGTGTCATTATGGTGCTTATTAACAGAACCGCTGAAATGTGTAACAGACGTGTAGAAGTTTAAACAAAAAGTCTCTCACTCTCATCCTGATGAGTCTGGTATCAAACGGATGTGTTTTAATCTTCAGATTACTTATCGTATGCAATGATGTAGAGGCCTGTCAGGCTGCGACGCGCCTGCTGTCGAGCGGTGACAGTTTCCAGCTCGATGAATGATAGCTAATTATAAGCAACATCCATTTCACCATTTCAAGAGTTACTGCGTGGTTATTTAAAAATATAAAATCAAATATTGATGGTTGTCAGCAGCTCTGAACAAAGCAGGTATTTTTCCTGCTCACAATGAATGAAATTATAATCACAGTGTGATGTTTTGGGTCTAGCTCAGCTCTAAAGTCGGTGGGATCAGTAGCTCACATAGAGAGAGAAATCCGTACACATTTATTCACTGGTTGAGTTTGAATTCCAGCGATGGTCTCCATTGATGAGTCGGGGGAGGTTAAGGGTTGAAACCGTGGTTCTCTTGTTAGTACACGGCGGAATAGTACGCAGTCGTCTCCCGCTGCTCTCTCTTGGTCTGTTTCAGGAGGATACTGGCGCAGACCAGGGCAACAATCTGTCGTGCAGACACAGAGGGAGGAGGGGAAGTAAAGTGCAGAGATGCAACAAAGAGCGGTGTGGTGACCAACGTGCTTTCTGCTCCTTCATCACCTCCAAGATCAAACCAGCCACAGGATGAGTTAGTGTGAGACAGATACCAGCCCACGCTACCAATTTGCATGCAGCTACACAAAGAAACTCGTGTGGAACTAAAAAGGCAAAATGGTTAATGAGGAACAAGTTGAAGGAAAAATCCAACCCTGAATATGAATTCTTTAACTGTAGATATACAGATTTAAGGAATACTTCACCCTCCAAATGACCATTCATTTATTTGCACTGCATTACTACCCTGGAAATCCAGAGTTCTCGTGAGAGCACAATTTGAATTTGCTCAGCAAGTCACTCTGGCGATCAGTAATGACGCTCATTACCTATGCCCATGAAACTGAGCGGCACCAATCACATCGGTGTATCTGATATAGGCGGGCCAGGGGCGAGCTAAACAGATGACGACAGCTCTGCGACGACGAAGTACGGAATCAGTCAGTAAACTGGCTGCGAGATGGCTACGGATGAACACCAGCTGTTTGAAACGGCTTTGGCCGCTACAGTGAACGAGTTAGACTTGGCTTTTTCTCTAAAAGAGGAACAGAAGATGGCGCTCCAATCTTTCCTTTGCAAGAAGGACGTTTTTGCTCTTTTGCCGACCGGATACAGCAAGAGTCTAATCTACCAGTTAGCCCCGCTGGTAGCTCTGGATACGTCACCCCGTGTATTGTTCTGATTGGTCATAGTGTTATCCAATTGCGTGCAGTGATATTTACAAATGCATGCTTGGTGCCGCCCCTCGAGTTGGGCCATTTGCATTACTCATGGCCAGACCCTAAATCTTTCTAGATTTGGGTCTGGATTTCCAGGCTACTGCATTACCATGCCGCCCTCCAAATGACGATTTGTATATCAATGAATCACCTCATGTTATCTATAAGTCCTATATCATAGGCAACTGGACTTGCTTGAGTTTCTTGAGGACATTTCACGCCTCTGGTGCGGCGTCATTAGAACTGAAGAAGCCTCTTGGATGAGCGGCGAAATGTCTTGAAGAATCTCAGGTAAGTCCAGCTGCCTACGATACAGCACTTATGATTTCCATGACCTGGATGACTGAGAATCTTCACTAACACCTCATGTTACGTTGAATTTGAATGCCGGCATGATAGGGTTGCAGGGGTATACAAATTCCACTGTATACAGTAGTATGAAATTTGACAATTACCATATAGTATACATTGGCTTATCTACAGTATTGAAAAAATGCAAGAGGACTGAGAATCTCACCTTTAGTTATTTTGAAAAGGGAGGCTTTTCACACACAATTACATTAAAAAATTTTGTGTCAGGTTTCAATTACAGTAATATGATATTTAGAAACCATAATATTTTCTGAGACTCATACTGAAAAATTCTCACACCATTCTCACACTGTTGCAACCTTACTCCACTGTGAAAGAAGAATCCAAAAACTGAATACTCTTGATGGAATTGAAGTCAAAGGGGTCCACATTTTCACAACAGCAAAACTATATCAAAACATCTGTTTGAAACTGTCACACGACTTGTGCAGTATGATCCAGGTCTCATTTTTACTAGTCTTAGTGGGCGGAAGTTTGCTGCAAAGATCAGCCTCTCATTGGGTGGAATGAGCCACCCGCTGAAGTCCCGCCCTACTACCTCCGGTTGTGTAGCAGTTTTCAACCGTTTTCAACACGTCCTTTACTAACTTTTGCGGTGTTTGATTTTGCGGGGATGTAGCCATTTTTCTGCCATGGTTCGCGTCCTGTAGGCGATATTTTTGTGGGCGTGTTACACCAAAACCTGTTTCCCCCCGGCAATATTTTTGCAAGCGCACCGTTGCTGTGGCACTACCAAGAACGATTGTGATTGGTTGAAAGAAATACAAGCAGCCGGGGCGTTTTTTTCTCCAATCTTAAAGTGAAAGTCGGCCCAGCCAGACCTTTCTTTTCTTGAAAAAGGTCTGGTGAGCGAGACTACATTTTTACAGTCTATGCTCAGTATTTCCCAAGCAGACAGCTCTTTTTGTCAAGGGACTGACCTGAAAGTGCTCTCTTCATAGCCGAGTCCATTGACAAAAACTGTATTTGTTCATCACTGAACACAAGAGCTGCTGGTCTACTGCTGCCTCTTTCAGTTGGTTTGTTTGTGTTATTGTGTGACTTTGGTGTTATTTGAAATTTACCAAAGTCACACAATAACACAAACAAACTAACTGATCAAGGCGGTGGTTGATCAGCAGCTCCTGTGTTCAGCTGTGTAAAATTACTGTTTTGTCAATGGAGTCTGGCTGAGACGAGAGCATAGATGAATTAAACTTTTAGCGCAGTTTCCGGTCAGAAAGCTCCGTCTGTTTGGGGAGCACTGAGCATACGACTGGATAAATGAGACTTCGATTATGCTACATGAGTTTTCGGAGTTTGTAAATGGATATTTGGACACAATGTTTTGATTATTCGTTCACAGGAAGCATGCAAGAAACCAATCCTCTTCACAAATTTGACAAAACACAGGGTGGGTAATTGATACACAAATGGTCATTTGAGGGTGAAGTATTTCTTTAAATATTAAAATAAATTAGGCTGCAAAAAAGCTGCTTTCTTCACAGGTGGGAGATCAAAAACAAACATTGCTTTCCAGCTAATGGAGGAGAAGTTGTTACAAATATGTGCAAAAATGATTAGCTTAATAAGAAGTAATTGCTCTCTGATTAAAATGTGTCTGTGGTCATTTCCCCCACTGTAGCTGTGCTTGGAAAGTCATGGAACGTCAGCATTTGGCCGAAAATCTGTGTGAATATATGTAATTACACCAAAAACAATGGCTCCAGTAGATATAGTGCTGTTGTGATAGCACTGTAGGTTTTTAGGGTGGATTTTTCCTTTTTAAAGGGAGTTGAAGACACGCTGCAGTGACCATGCAGCTAAGAGCTGAACATGTTCAGCATGTGAAGAGAATGGATAAAAACTAAATGACAGTGCGTCGTGGAATAAAATCAAGAGCAGCATGAAAGTGAGAGTGAAAACCAGCAGGAGTGCACTAAGACTGAGCCACAGGGATGTTGGCCACAGGGAGAGGGGTGAAGACGACCGGGTCCTGGTTGGGGTAGGGGTAGGGGTAGGGGTAGGAGGTGGAGACAAATCCGTCAACCTGAGATGGTTGAGGATTGGCCAGGTTCGGAGTGGAGTGAGTCAGGATGATGTACTGAGATGATGAGGTGGCCTGATGGATCTTTTTGCTCAGAGTTGTGCTGCAAATCAGAGCTATGAACTTTAGGAACCAAAGCCGGGGAGAATGAAATAAAATTAAAGCAAGATAGGGGGAGGAGTGTTGATTGAGAGAAAGGGGGGGGGGGGGGGGGGGGGGGGGGGGGGGGGGGGGGGGGGGGGGGGGGGGGGGGGGGGGGGGTGCAGAGTGATTAGGACACGGTTCTTAACTTCATCAACAACAAAAGCAAAAGACAAAATAAGGCTTGTCTGTTTGCAAGAAACCCAACTGAGCTGTTTTTGATACTCATTGGATGTTGGATAGTTTAACATTGTGAACTGTGTTGTATGCAGTATAGATTAATGTCCACAGTACAGTTTAAATAAGGCTAATTGTTTGGGTTTTTGGGGATGATCATTTTCAAGGCACAATGAACAGGAAGGGTTGTGGTGAGGGTGGCTGGGAATGTGCTTTCATTTATAACAACACTAACAGTCTACAGCTACATCAGCAGCTATGTGAGACTGAACTTTGAGGAGTACCTTACCCACAAAATGACCATTTGTTTATCAATTACTCTCTGTGTGTTACCTTGAATTTGTTTTTCTCGCATGCCTCCACGGTGAACAGAGAATCCAAAAAAAAAAACATTCTTCAAGAACTGCAGTAATCGGGGTCAACTTTCAACAACAGCAAAACTTCCAAGACCCCAAGGCATTCCCAGGCCAGATGAGATATGTAATCCCTCCAGTGTGTTCTGGGTCTGCCCCGGATTCTCCAACCTATGGGACATGCCCGAAACACCTCTAACAGGAGGCGCCCAGGAGGCATCCTGATCAGATGCTCGAACCACCTCAACTGACCCCTAAAGGAGCAGCGGCTCTACTCCGAGCTCCCTCCAGATATCCAAGCTCCTTACCCTATCTCTAACACCGGAATTCCACTGGATGCGTGTCCGTTGCGGAATGGCAGCGCTGGTTATCCGCTGCGTGCTCCGCCGTCCGTCAACACCCACCGGCTGCGTTTGCTGTGCGGAGCGCTGCAGCTCCGCCGGAAGACATCTCAGTGCACCTCCATGATTAACATCTCCTCGTCCATGGTGTCAACGGGGTGAAATGACGTCTGAAAACCTCTGACCTGTTGACTTCAGGGCTGCCTCCACCCATTATGACGTTTTCAAGGTGTAGTGCAGGGAAATATGATCTGCCGTGTACACTGTGTATTTTATTTTGAAAATTAACGGGATGTTTTATTTTGTTTCTGTGCACAACTTCCTGCCCCGCACGATCTGCTCTGTGCTGAATTGCTGTGTTGTGCTCCGGCGTCTGGCAAAAATAGAAGTCCTGCATATCTGTTGCGGAGGGCTCCGAAGTGCCGCAGCTGAGATGGAGCCGGAACGCAGCACAGCCACAGCCGGTGGAAACACACACATTGACTAGAATTGAATCCTATCAGCTCTGCTGCCATGCCGGAGTGCAGACGCAACCAACATGCATCTGGTGGAAACTGGGGGTAAGGCTGAGCCCAGTCACCCCACGGAGGAAACTCATTTCAGCCGGTTGTATCCACGATCTCCTTCTTTCCAGAGCTCATGACCATAGGTGAGGGTTGGGACGTAGGTGGACCAATAGCCTACGGGCTCAGCTCCCTTTTATCCCCGACGGTCCAGCCGTTCCATCTCACACTCCATTCTACCATCACTTGTGAACAAGACCCCGAGATAATTAAACTCCCTCGCTTGAGGCAGTGACTCTCTTCCAAGCCGGAGGGGGCAATCCACTGGTTCCTGCTCCTCCAAGAATCGGCACCGTAACATGGTGGAGGGGTTTGCATGTCCCTGTGAACCTGGAAGCTGTGCCTCTAATAGGGTCTCCCAAGGCAAAGTGGTCCCAGGGGAGGGACCAGACTAAGAGTGATTCAAGAAGACCTTGATGACACAGCATATTTGGACTTTGAGTACCTCACCTGGTATAAAAAACGAGGTCTTCTTCACAACTTGTATTTGCTTACTTGAGTACTTTCCTTAATGAGTTGTGAGAGTTTGTAATGTTGGATGTTTTGGTATAGTTTTGCTGCTGTTCACATTTTTTGGATTTTCCGTTCACAGTGGTGGCAAGAAAAGTTTTCTTCACAGATCCAAGGTTCCACGGTCACACACACACACACACACAATGAGTAATTTATATACCAATGGTCATTGTGCAGGTGAAGTATTCCTTTGAGACAACAGTGCTTTAAGCAGGGACAGTGTTCACCATGGTCACTAATTTAGCCTGTGGATTACATGAAATATGGTACAGACCTCGTCCGACATTGTCACATGTCTAAAGATTCTACGACCTCATGTTGTGTCAATCACGTTTGCACACTGACTCAGAAACCTTCGTGTGTCAAATTTTTCAAAACAGGTTACATTTTTTCAGCAACCTTCAAAGTTCAAAAAATGTGGCGGCGGTACACATCCACAACAAGAGGAGGGAACGAGTCGCACCATTTCCTTATATAACTCAGATAGCCTGCTTTCAACAGGTTAGAGGAGGACGTGGACCGCACACAGAGAGAGAGAGACAGAAGGAGCGATGGTGTGGAGACAGAGAGGGAGGACAGCTCAGACCCTTCAGCTGCGGTGCCAAGTGCAAGACGGGGAGAGAGCACCGACAACCAGGGAGGTAACTCAGATGTAGAGAAGAGAGTGAGGACATGTGTCTTTTCATTTTGTTTCATGCTGCAAATTTTCGCAACAAATCCAAAAATGTAACGCATCTGGGTCAGGGTGCACGGTTTCTGTGCATATGAAAAATCTGTCTCAGTGTGCAAAGGTCTTGATGTGAAACGTTTGAATGTAGAATCAGCCAATCCAAGCACAACAAGGCAAATGATCTGCATCTGGCCTCTGATTTGGTGTCCCTTCACAGTTCAGTAGCATCTTAGGTACATCTCTGCTCTCATCGATGTTCTGTTGCACTTGACGATGAACTGCACTGAGTGATTCTTGATTTAAACACATGATTCTAAAGGCCAAACAGCAAAAAAAATCAAAATGCAAATTAATGTTTTTGTTTGGTAAATAATCTTTTTTTTTTTTTTTTTGCTCATCAGCCTATTTCACCGAAAACCTTAACTTCATTTATGGCATCCAAGTATAGACACGCAACACATTTCCTTACCAGAAGAGCTCCAGTTCCAACAAAGAGGCCCATCACCAGTGACGCTTTGCTGTCTAAGACCGTTGCGATGGTCACAGGACAGCTCTGTGGGCAAAACCAAGGAGAAACTGTTAGTGCCCTCTGTAGTGTAGCTGACCCACAGTCTACAGAGCACAGCTGTTCAGTTTCCAGTAGTGGGAACAAGAAGGGCTCATTTATTCAGTCACTATACATTATACTAGTGTACTAAGAACACTTCACATATATTCCAGCTTCATTTCTTGGCACTAACTTACGTCCATCTTGAAGTGCTCAATGAACCCTGCTGGTTCAGGACAGGTCTTCTGAACCACCTCAACCATCTTGACTCCAGTCAGTCCACAGCAGTGAAGCTACAGAGGAGAGAGATGAAGGGAAGATTAATTACACATCATATTTAATGCTTTACTTTATTTCATCAATATGGAGCTCTAAAGTGAGGGCACACAGCCTCACAGCATGAGGGTTGCTGGTTCAATCCTGGGGTGGGGGAGCCCTTCTGTGTGGAGTTTGCATGTTCTCCCCGTGTCAGTGTGGGTTTTCTCCAGGTGCTCCAGCTTCCTCCCACAGTCCAAAGACATGCAGGTTAACTGGTGATTCTAAATTGCCCGTAGGTGTGAATGGTTGTTTGTCTCTATGTGTCAGCCCTGTGACAGTCTGTTGACCTGTCCATGGTGAACCCTGCCTCTCACCCAATGTCAGCTGGGATAGGCTCCAGCCCCCCATGACCTCTAACAGGATAAGTGGATTACGGAAAATGAATGAATGAGGAGCTCTAACATGTTAAAGAAGTGTCTACCATATGTAAATTATTGCAGAGAATAAGCAACAAACATTTATGTTACTTTTGTTCAGAAAGATAGTCTTCACAAGTAAACGCCACTTTTAGGATTTTTGAGGCCTAAATGCAGCAACCAGAACTACAAAACTAATGTTGGGCTATTAATGAACTACACCACAGTTGCATTCAACATTACAAGGTTGTAAAGCCGCCTTCCGCATGATGACGTTCTGTAGTCTCATTGAGCCACTTGTTAGCAAACGTCTTTTTAAGACACGTAAAAGCTTTGTTCACATTTTTTTGGTGTAGAACAAACCGTGAAAGTCTCTTCAGCTTGGTTTAACCACAGACCTTTTTTCATCTAACCAAAAACCCATTGACTTTGAGACAAGATAACAGAGAGGGCTAAAATGCTACCTCAGGTTTTTGGACTCTGTTATTTTATCATTCTTATTTTTGCAGAGGTTTTGATTCGTTTTGTAGAACTTCACCCTTATTTTACAACAGGTGTTATTTTACTACTACTACTTTTTCCAAGTATTCATGCCACTTTTTGTTTCATAATGTCACTTTTCACTTTCACGTTGTCACTTGTTACACAGCCCCTGCATTTTAAATGACTAAGATCAGCAACTGCTACCATATGTGGACAGTTGGCACCTGTTAGCTAGAGCAACAACGATATCAGAGTTACTCTGAATCAACTATCGAGCAGCTGACTCAAAAACAAAACAAAAAAAGAAGCAGCAGCAGAACATTTCTGCAAACTGGGGGGACGTTGAGCTCCAGGAGCACCTTGGAGGAAAGGGCTAGCTTAGCCGCCATATTACAGGGGTGGTAAATTAGTGTTATCACCATTGGTATTGTTTAGAAGATGCTGCCGACATGTATGTTATGTGTCACACCAGAAGCAGATGCTGTTGTGTTACACAACACGCCTCTTTGGCTTCAGGGATGCAGACTTGCTTTCTAAAATCACACACTTGGTGTTTGGTTCTGTGTAAAAATGCAAAGGCAGCATCAAGAACCATTTTATAACGGCTCTATAGAGTGATCTCTGCGTAAAAAGGGTTGCAGTTTTGATCAAGGTGGGAATGTCGCGCCATTATCCTGCCTCTCCACGGAGGCCTTAAGTTTGGCTTTTTGACTGTCGTCATCTTGGATTTTTGATGCCAGAAGCAACCATATTTGGACAAGAGTATTATATAATTGGTAAATTATATGACCAACCCACCCTGACCGTTTACATGACCAAAACTGTTTGTGTGCTACACTGTAAACATGTTCATTACTGCTGTAAATTTGGCCATTTTAACATGGGGGTCTATGGGGATTGACTCGCTTTTGAAGATGGCCTCAAGTGGCCATTAGAGGAACTGCAGTTTGACACTAACACACATTTTAACACAATATTCATATGATTTTGTTTTATAGTTAGTATAGATAGATACAGATATATAGTCTTTTTTGTAATTTAATATTGAACACCTCAGAGTTCCATATCACTAAAACTTTGGTACACAAGTTGAAAAAACAAACTTAACAACACATTAAGTCAAACTGTGGATTTTATAAAATTGGAAACAAGGAAATAGTTTGCTCTTACCGTGTTGTGAAAGAATGTGAGAGCGGCACCAATGAATGGGTCTCCTCCACTGGTCACATACAGAGTGTACAGACTGGTGTAGAACTCGGCCATCGTCAAGCCAAACTTAATAATAAAAATCAAAGCACAATATCATGATGATAATTTAAGTATATTTAGAGATTAATTATTTTATTTTTGACTATTTTTTTATCCTATTTTTGTGTTCCTTTCTTACCTTATCCCTGTTGGAGTAGGCGAGCACTCCAACAACAACTTCAGTTAACGCTAGAATGGACAGAAGGGCCGAAAACTGAAAGAAGAAGAGGTAAATAACCCTAATTATAACATCTTAAAGGTACAGGTTAAAAAACTGATAATTACAAAGGAACAAATAAACAACAAAACTCAAAACATTTTTTCCATCTAATATGCATGATGGGCATCAAAACACAGATATGCTAATGTATCCTTATATGTTTTTATTTAAACCTGTAGGAAGAAAGCTATGTTACATTACATAGCTATGTTGCTCCTATTTCGTTATGTCCTGGTAACCAGGAAGTGCTTTTATTTTGGAGAGACTGAACACAAAGAGGTTGCAGACAGAAACTGACAAAGGTAAACAGTGTAGTAACATTAGTACCGTTCATTCTACCGTTTTTTTTCCCCGTTAAAGGTTTTTTTTGGGGGAGTTTTTCCTTATCCGCTGCGAGGGTCATAAGGACAGAGGGATGTTGTATGCTGTAAAGCCCTGTGAGGCAAATTGTGATTTGTGATATTGGGCTTTATAAATAAAATTGATTGATTGATAGTAGGATAGAAAATAAAGAAGTAACAAGTATGAACGGGGAGAGTTTAACGGACTTTAGTGTCAGTCGAGAGGGCAACAAGGTATTATCTGTATTAAATTGTTGCTAACTGTCTGATAATTGTATGTTTTGGTATAATTGCTAACTTTCTAAGCTAAGTTTAATGCATTGTTTTGTTGTCTGTTTAATTTCTGTTCAGCTCTTACGTTAGTCGATCGAGTTAATTGGAAACGGTATAAACTGCCTTCGACCATCAGTCCAGACTTGTATTGTAGACTTGTAAACAAATGTAATAATTATGTTTAGTTTATGATCACCAACTGTTGTCAGTATCTTAAAACAAGGCATGTATATCTACATAGGGAGCAGTTCCTTGATTATGGAAATCACCATGTTGTTTCTATGCCATGTTTCTACTGTAGCCCAGAATGGACAAACCAAACACTGGCTCTAGATAGGGCCATTTGCATTTTTGTGTCGGCCTCAGTAGTCAGCAGGCCCTCTGCAATGAGCCGAACACTGATTTTTAATGTGCATTAGAGAAACGCTGATTTGTAAAGTGAAACTGTTTTTTTCAGTGTTTTTACTGGTTTAAATCATCAGGTCTGTTTGTTTTTTGAGGAAGAGACGTCTGGATAATTAGTATAGTAATTAAGTAAAAAAATCTCCTGTAGTGGCCGTTTCAACACACCAAAGTTCCTTGATTGAACAAAGTTCAACCAAGTTTATTGAGAATTTAAAAAAAAAAAAAAAATTCAAAAATGCAGGCATAGTCCTTCCAGAAATTGAGCATAGCAGTATTTCAGGCAGAACACGATGTCAAGCTCAGCTCATATCCCAGCTACATCAGCTGATCTCAAGCAGCCCAATCAACTGATGGAGCAGCTGATTGATGAAAGGGAGTCAGCTGATAGATCACATGATTCCTTTCTATGCAACCAATTGGCAAATCTCATTCAGGGTGCCTTATTTAAACTGCTCTGGCCTGCCTACTGTTGCTACTTCCTCTGCAAGCCGCTTTGCAACCCACCTCCACCCCAGCTCCTCCTTTTCATGCTGTGTCTGACTTATCAATGTCATTTCTGTTTGTCATTGATGCTGCTCTGTTCTCTTCCTGGGCGGGGGTCTTTGCTTCTGCTCTTTCTGCCTTAGGCTTTCCATGTAGGCACATGGACGGGCAGAGGTGTGCTCTCTCTGCCTTTACTTTCCATGTAGGCGTATGGAAGGGCAGACAGGTGTGCTCTCCCTGCCTTTACTTTCCATGTAGGTGCATGGAAGGTGTCTTCCGTCTTAGGTGTTCTGCGTAGGCCTAGGAAAGGCAGAGAGGCCCCAGAACAGAGCCATGCCACCATATGTAGTACTGCAAATGGAAATAAAGTTTTCTTTGACTAAAGTGGTCCTGACTGAATAACATCTCGTATGGTCCCCTACCAAAGTCTACAAATTTTCTCACCATATTACGCGTTATTATAAACTTTACCACTGCATAAAATGGTCAAAAACTTATTACGATCCAAACCAACAACAATGTTGTCAACAATCTCCTTTTGTTATGGACACTTAACTGTTTTATGGCACCATACCTGCCGTAAATAACTTATGCCTGTTTTCTAACACATAAGTAAATATAAACATAACCATAGCATAATCCACTACTATACACTATTCAAAGTATGCAGAAACAGTTGAGCAAACTTAAATAATCGCAGAACCTGCATGGTATTTCATATCAGACATTTTTGTGGCTCTTGCACCTCCTGAACATTGAACACTGAAGGAATCCTAACCAGGAGTTTGAGCTGGTTGCAATCTGCAGCCCTCACTGCTAGATGCCACAAAATCCTACACAATGCTCCTTCAAGTAAATTCACGACAAGTTTTACCATGTTTGTTGACCTGTTTCCGTAAAGAGACCCAGCTACAACAGTTGCAGCATCAATCCGAAGAACATAAATGACTCTAAGAAGCTGTTTCCTCAATCAAAGGGGCCTCAGTGATCTTCTTCCTCCATAAAAGCTTTTTATCTGAGTTGCTTCTGATCTGAGGATAATTCAGCTTCAGGTTAAAACCTCCTGAACAATGAACACTGAAGGAATTCTAACAGGGAGAAGTTTCAGCTGGTTGCAGTCTAATGCGCCAAAATCTTACACACTGGACCTTTTTGTTGCTGTTCAAATGTCCTTGCTGTGTTACATTTCTATGTTGCAAATGGGTCAGAGCTTGTTTCTTCTGACAGCACACAAACCAGCTCAGTCTCCCGCCGCTGTGCTATGTAACAGTTTAGGAATGCGCTGAACTTTCATACAAGGACACACAGTGGGATCAGGCCATGAGATAAAACTGGAAATTACCGCTAAACAGGAAATCAAAGGGAAAAGACTGAGGAGGAGATTGTAGATATTTTAGCTCATTTGTGCGTGTTTGATTTTGCAGCATATTTTAACCCCATAGCTTGATCGTTAATTATAACCACAATGACAGGAAATGAGTGACAAATGGAGACAAAGATCCAGAGAGCTCACCCGAGACAGAGCTGTGAGTAACTTCAGGATCTTTTTACATTACCCGTCCCTCCCTCACATCCATCAGTTTATAGCCGGTGTGCTGTGGGGGTTTCACAACAACACCATGAAATCAAGAACAGTTTCGATATTCTGTGTTTACGAATCTTGTCTAGTCTAATCTATGTCAGCAGGTTTCAGGAAGTGACGTTAGATGATATTGAAGCACAGTAATTAAATCATTTAAGCAGAAATTGAAGAGATACAGTGGTACCAAGAGACAACAGACACTAAGACTCAAAGCTCCTTCATATTACTTTGACCATTTGCACTTGAAAAGCATAAGCACTGAACCTTAGGGAGTGACTTATTTACAGTTAAGTTCATATTAATATAAGCTGCAAAAGCGAACAAGTGATCTCAGCACAACTACAAAGAACAAAAAGGTCCCTGGAAAGTACAGAAATGTGAGTTCAGATGTGTAGTTGGTCTTATCTGTTAGATAATTCTTAACACTTGGCCTTGAATGGAGAACTGGCAGAAAGCACTTCACCAGTCTTTTAGGCTGCTTTCAGACCTAGAGTTGTCTTGCTTTGGTCTGAATCAGGGACTCATTTTGTCACAAAGTTGTATAATTGCCTAGAGTTGGTTCGTGTTCTCACAGCAGCATTTACAAGCGGACCAGATCAAATACCTTGTGTGAGAAAGCTGCTCTTGATTAGTCAGAATTTCCATGTGGGAAAAATCCAGGAAGTAAAGCAAACGTTGAAGAAGAGTACACTTGCAAGATAAATGTGACACTTTCTAATGTCACAATGGAGGGACAACTACGCAGGTTGATTTTAGCGCTGCTCATCGTGGACTATACTGACCACCTCTTCAAGAAAGTCTCGGTCCCGTTGTTTTGGTGCACGACAGAGTGCGATTGCTTTGCTCACATCTGCCCAAAACGAGCTGCACTTAGGAAGCAGATGAACTTGAGTTCAATTGAACCTGCCAAACAGGGCAGGTGTGAAAGCACCAGTAAAACAGCCCCACCTCAATTACTTATGGTCTACTTTCTGATCCTTTGAAAAAGTCATAATCTGGTTGGAAAAAGATCCATAAAACTTTATTTAAGACCTGTTAACTCAATGAACTTGTGTCTGTTGTGTGTAAGATTGGCCCATTTTTACACCTGGTATGTTTACATGCATCTTGAGTGGTGGGATCACAAATGGACGGCTCTAAGTAGCAGTGTGATGGCATCAAAAGCGTCCTCAATGTGTCTTGAGATCTAATCGTTCAGACCACATTCAGAGGTGGTCTGGCTGCATATGGCCACATTCCCTCAGCAGTGTGTTTGCTAATTGGTTGGCAGTGTTTGCTTTTGCCTCCCTGGCAGTGGGAGAGATGTGCGTGGCCTGCAGCACAGAGCAGTGATCATCATCTGTGCGCTACATCGCCGTGGACTGCCATGCACACTACATGCTCACGCCTGTTAATGACGCTGTTGGCAAAGCAGTAATGATTGTGCTAAGTGGCTAATGGGCATGTAGCTACTCCCATGTTTCAGATGATACGTCATGTTTGTAGTCGACCAATGAAGATGAGTTTACATATCACCTTGGGTTCGTCCTTCACCTTCTCAAAATGATCCCACACTTTGGATTTCCTGCCTGACATGTTATTAACTAGCCTGTGGAATAACCGCAGGTACCAGCCCTGGAAATTAGGGGCCGTGCAGAGCTGATCTTCTTCCAAGAGCTGTTTATAAGAGTGTCGGCCTATCGTCTGTGGGACAGGTGTAAAGCTCTGGGTAGCCCTGCACTAACATGATCAACCTTTCCGTATTTATCAGACTGAATATTTACAGAAGAAGGGAAAGATATCTGTCGACTGTGATTGGTTTGTAACCTGACTCCTGTCTGACTGCTGCCGCTTCCTTTGTCTGTCCTTTCAAATTAAATTCCCACATGGTCCAGTCATATAGGTTTTGATTTATTTTGATGAGGCGCAGCTCCTGATAGTTTCATGTTGTTGTTTTTTCCTGGTTCTTGATCTTAAAAGACAAAAATAGACACATTGGTTCATACTGTTGTTCTGCTTTCAGTCAGGTTTGATGTTTCAGACTGTTGAGCTGTTCTGAAACATCACATCTGCGTAACTCACCCACGTCACCTTCGCGTGTCTGTCTGTTGATGAGGAGGCAGGGTGAGCACAGCAGTGTCTTTATTATTATGTGAGGCCTCCTATCGATGCTAGTTTGGGGAACTGAAGTTATTTGGCTCTTGTGCAGAGAAACTTTTGTAAGCCTCTTTGATACCACATGTGTGGCATTGCAAGCGTGCAGGAAGACACGCTGCCTTCACAGTAACTCTGTGACCACAGAACTGAGAGAGTGCTGGCACACTTTATTTCCAGACATTGTGAAACTTATTCTGAGGTAGAAATATCAGCTTTCCTCAAATCAAAGATTTTCCAGATAAACCCAGAGTTAGCTGTACACTTCACTGCAAGTGACAGTGCGTCCATTGTGCAAGGCTGGCTGTTGTAATCACACAGCAGGAAAAAAAATATTTACAAGGAAGTTACTGTGTGAGGATGCCTTACCACTTGCAGAGCACATCTCTTCTCGTTGCAGGCGCCGTAGTCTCCGAACACCACGACAATCAGCATCACTGCGCCCAGAGCTATCAGTATCGTCACAACTGATACATTAAAAACCAAAAGAGACACAAACAGATCTGTGAGTGAAAATGTTTCAGCAGCAAAAGATCTTTATGCATTTATTTTAGAGAAATGACACAAATGTTTTGTAGCATGTACTGACTCATGACAAATGCACTTGAGTTGAGTTCCTGCACTTCGAAGATGGGTCGGGTGCTGTCGCTGAACCTCAGCCACAAGCCGAGGCCCAGGAAGACAAACCCCACCACCTGCCAGACCACAGAAAGAAAGAATAACACCACAGCTCAATGTGCAGACCAACAACATTTCTCATTACCTGGTTTCACATCTTCAAATTGGTAACTTCCTACACAGTTGAGTCAGATGTGATATTTTCAGCGAATACGTGAGGATGAACCTTTACTTATATTGTGTAAGAAAACAGGTGGCATGTAGCCGACCCACAAAATAATCTATCAGAGAACAAAGTCCACGGGGCGTCGGTGGCTTAGTGGTAGAGCAGGCGCCCCATGTACAAGGCTGTTGCCGCAGCGGCCTGGGTTCGAGTCCAGTCTGTGGCCCTTTGCTGCATGTCTCTCCCTCTCTCTCTCCCCCTTTCACACTTAACTGTCCTGTCCATTAAAGGCAAAAAATGCCCAAAAAAATATCTTTAAAAAAAAAAAGAGAGAAAAAAGTCCAGAGTGAGACCAGTGCAGACAGCTAGGTAAACACATGTCAAACCAGAATACACAGACAAACACAGTGCGACAAGACAGTGCACCAACAGCACAAAGGAGCAGGTTAAAATGAGGAGTGTGTAAATAGGTGCCATCTTTCGTTCTGTTTCCTTCATGCTGTTGGGTCGCAGCCAGAGCTGGTATTCAGCAGAAATGAAACCTAACAGGCGCCAACTGAAACGACAAGACAACTCCTAGTCTGACCTACAAACAGAGGAGAGATGGATGACAGCCACGCTCAGGTTTAATTAACGATCTCTTGCCAAAAAATGTCTTCAGCAGAAGTTAAAGTCATTTATTAGAATATTACTTGAGTAAAAGTCTTCAATATAAATTAATAAATATTTAATATTTACTGTACTTAAGCACAGGGTGTCTACAGGTCCTTAAAAAGTCTCAAAGTGTTTCAAGTTTTTTTAATATAAGGCTTTAAATTGTCTAAAATTGAAAGTATTCGGGGTTTTTTAATAAATGCAGTCAGGGGTGGACAAAATACCTGAAAGACCTGGGTTAACTTTATTTATTTACTTTATAAAGTGCAGATATCTTAATGCACACCTTAAACATGGAGCGTACATTACACTTGACGGGATGAGGAAGCCTTTTTCCACAGTTTAAAGGATTTAAAGAACAAAACCCAGTTTGTCCTTCCCTCCCTCCTCCCTTACTTCCTTCCCTATTTTATAATAAGTAACTAAGACATTTTGCAGTGCAGTAAAGGTGAAAGTTGACAAATATAAATACTCAAATAAAGCACATGTGAAGGGATGCTTCTTCACCTTCTCTGGAAGTGTCATATATGAATATAATAAAAAACATGACCCGGACTAACTTTGAGTTCTGCCAGAGGCTGTGTGTTCAGTGACCCCATAATGGCGTCCCACACCAGTATAATGGTGGGAAAATATTATAATGAGGAAGTGGAGGAAACCAGTTGAGCAATCTTTAAGGGATGGATCACAGAGCTGGCAAAAGTTGCATCATATGAACAAGTCTCTTTCAGTTGTGAATCAAGATGCCATGTGCCTGGTGCTCTGTTGCACATCTGTTTGTAGATCAGAGTAGTGTATGTGCATGACTTGTGTATGTGCATGTATTTGATTTATTTACACTTGGTGAAACTGTTTATATTAGAAAAAAGCAAAAAAAAGTTCAATAAAATATTAATAATTTAAAAAGAACTCAAATAAAGTACAGATACTTCAAAAAATACTTCAGTAGCCTCCTGTAACAGAGTATTATTACTTTCTTACTTTACACTACTGCCTATAAATAAACTATTTGGCTTTTCCTCTCATATCTTAGAAAAACTTTCCTATAGCCTATATTTGAATTTGAATAAACTGCGTGTTTTTCCCCCAGATTGAGCAGTTTCACTTTTGACACTTACCGCAAAGATGATGTTGAAGATAACGAGGGTGTATTTGCAGAAGAGGCCACATCCATCCAGTGCCATGATGATCCCCGAGTTGTTGTGCTGCGTGTGTTTGCGAGGTCTGTAAATGTGTACACAATAAACAAATGACATCATCATTTGTGTAGACCGTCTGCGGCACGCGACATCAAAACATTCACACATACTCAAACCTGTAAAGGTTTTATTTGACATGTAAATGTCGTATTAAGCAGTTAGTAACGCGTTAAAAAATCTTAATGGCGCACTTAATTCATATTGCAGCCGAGCTACAGACATTAACCACAAGCTACATAAATACCTGGTTGATCAAAGGCTCTCGCGCTCTGTGTCCTCGTGCAGTTTCAGTGGTGAAACATCCACAGATTTCACATTGAGCTGCTGGTTATACAGTCCAGACATGCGTCATGCCCCGCCTCTCTGACCGCTCTCTGTCATTCCATTGGCTGAGAGCTGTGACAGACACGAGATGGGACCAATGAGCAGGCGGCGGCGCGCAGAAGCGAAGAGGCCACAGAACATAGAGTCATAAAGAAACCTAAGGAAATGAGAGTTAAGAATGATAAAGGATGAGTTATTTATGAGGTGGATAGCAGGAAACGGACCAGCTTTGGAGATTAGTCCGGGCTTTTTTTTTATTATTCTACCTGATTTGAGTTGAAATAAAAATCACAGGAACTCATAAATAAACATGGGGCCAAACAGGGGCCCACACTGGAGCCAATAGTTTTAAGTGAACAGATTTATCATGCAGGAAATATATTAAAAGAGCACTGAACAGTTTTGATTTGGCAAATGTGAAACTTGGGCTGAAAACAAAGAAAGGAAACAAAGGACAGGAAGTGTGATGTGCTATCCCTCCCTCCCCCTCTTCTTACCTCACTCATGTGTAGGCTACACCGCACACACACACACTCACACAAACACACATTAACTACATACACAATTCAACAGGATGCATTGCACCCTTGTAAAGCAGACAACAACGTTCTCTAGCTCTGGTTGTATCTCTGAGGCAGTACCTTTGTACAAAGTCTGTACTCCTGGTTTTGTTTGTTGGTTTGTATCAGGGGCGTCCAGACTGTTTTTGAACAGGGGCCAGAACAGATAATGTGAAAATGCCTGGGGGCTTGCTTAAAAAAATCCCTTTCAACTGACACAAACACAATTGTTTAATCTTTTAGTATAGAGCAGCTGGTAATATGTTTAAACATCTTAACAGTGCTCTTTGTTTTTAATATATATATCACTATATACACTCACTGGACCCCTTCTGCCTTCAGAGCTGCCTTAATTCTTGGTGTCATAGATTCAACAAGGTGCTGGAAACATTCCTCAGAGATTTTGGTCCATACTGACATGATGACATCACACAGTTGCTGCAGATTTGTCGGCTGCACATCCATGATGAGAATCTCCCGTTCCACCACATCCCAAAGGTGCTCTATTGGACTGAGATCTGGTGACTGTGGAGGCCATTGGAGTACAGTGAACTCATTGTCATGTTTGAGATGATGTGAGCTTTGTGACATGGTGCGTTATCCTGCTGGAAGTAGCCATCAGAAGATGGGCACACTGTGGTCATAAAGGGATGGACACGCTCAGCAACAATACTCAGGTAGGCTGTGGTGTTTAAACCATGCTCAGTTGGTACTAAGAAAATCTCCCCCACACCATTACAGCACCAGCAGCAGCCTGAACCGTTGATACAAGGCAGGATGGATCCATGACGCCAAATTCTGACCCTACCATCTAAATGTGGCAGCAGAAATCCAGACTCATCAGACCAGGCAACGTTTCTCCAATCTTCTATTGTCCAGTTTTGGTGAGCCTGTGTGAACTGTAGCCTCAGATTCCTGTTGTTAGCTGACAGGAGTGGCACCTGGTGTGGTCTTCTGCTGCTGTAGCCCATCTGCTTCAAGGTTGGACAAGGTGTTGTTGCTTCAGAGATGGTCTTCTGCAGACCTTGGTTGGAACCAGTGGTTATTTGACTTCCTGTTGCCTTTCTATCATCTTGAACCAGTCTGG